GCAGGCGGTTGGGGAAGAGGTGCGCGCGCCGGGGGTGGGGGCTGATGGTGCAGTAGAGTCTGTGCCTCCGCCCAGTCCAGCTAAGATGCTCCAGCCGCACAGCCCTCCCCGCACTTAGCATCCTCCAATCCTACCCTTCCCAGCCCTGCAAAGAATCTTCTGCACCCCACCCCTCCGCCCCTGGGAACCCTTCCAGGACTGCAGCGAAGGGCGGGGCAGGGCCATTGCTGCAGTCTGGCTGGGGATGCTGCACGCCCCAGCCGGAAAAACGCCCAGTCCCGAAGGGTGAGATCACCCTTGTGCTTCTCTTCCTCTTGCTCTCTTTCCCTAGGAGACTGATGCCAGGGACCCAAGTCAGTTTACTCTGATGGGGGCTGGGGTCAAGAAACGGGGGATGATTTGGGACTACGGGTTTGGGGAAATGACAAGGAAAGGCTAAAAGCGATCATAAAAAATAAAGTCGATTAATCTGGAATTTATGTCTCTCATTCTGAGATCTGAAGAGTTAATAATTTCTTATATTATAGCAAAAGCTTTTGACAGGTCACCAGTGGAATAGGATGCATTAGTTGTATTTTATAAACGAGACATTAAGGTTCTTCCCACAATTAATCTTTTCTTATGTACTAGGCACTATGCTAAGCATTTCATGTGTTACTCTATCTTTACAATAATTTTATGATTTAGGTATTATTTCTGCACTTTACGAAAAGAGCTCCCTGATGTGGAAGCTTGCCCAAGGTCAGGCAGCTAGCAAGGGGAAAAGCTAGGATTTGAATCCTGGCAGTCAGAACCTTCTTTTAAACAGTGTGCTATACTGCCATGCCATAGGAAAGGGAAGCATTGCGATGGTGGATGCTGAGGTGCCAAGAAAGGAAAAATAAAGAGGATTTCTGGAATTTCTGTTCCTTACAGTCTTATCAGTTAGGAAGCCCTTTCCCCACCCTCACTCCAGTGACAGTTGGGCTACAGCCATCGAAAGTAACACCCAAATCTTTCCTGTGCAGTCAGACAGACCAGGAGTTCTGCAGCTTAGGAAGGCCTCAGCCTCCTGGTTACCAAGGACTTTTCCTTTTAAATAAATTAAAAGGCACTGGGCAATGCACCAGAACTAGGGCCTCGGCCCAGCCCGGAGCCCTGGTCCTCAGGAGTTTTGCTTCTTCCCTGTGCCTGGGATCTGCTGTCTAGTTTCTAAGCTTCCCTGGCTGGAGCCATGATAATGAGGAAAAACTTCCCTTTTCCCTCACTCCATCTGAGAGCAGAGAAAAGAAAAGGAGTGGCCACACCCCAGAAGCAGCTTTACAGAATCTGGAGGAGAAACATAGGAGCTAAGAGGCATTTCCTGCCATCTTCCATGTAGAGAAAACAGGGCCCGGTAACTCCTCCCTGGGGTGTGCATTTCTGTGAACAGCTAATGGCGTCCACAGCTTCTTCTCCAGCAGGTAGCAGCAAAATGTTTAATCAGATGTTCAGCTCTGGGTACAAGATGGCTAACACAATCATAGCTCTCCAAAATTTCTAAGACCTTCTGCTCTAGCAAAGAAAGAGTCTTAAGGCCGTGGGCAGGAACTGAAAAAAAGGGAGGATTTTTCTTTTAAATCACTCTGGCCTCCTTGTGAAATGGAGGTTTGGCTCCCTTCACCAGATGCAAAACAGATTTGAGACCTTAGAGAGAGCTTCTGTACTGGCATAGAAACGAAAATCTTATTTGTTGATCCTTTGTCTGATCTGAGACATGGCCAAAAAATAGTATCTCCAGCCCTCTGCACTGCCCACTCACTCACCCACCCCATCTGCTTTTGGCACTGGAAATGATACATTTAAAAGCCGTTTTCCCCGTGTTCTATTGTCTGCCTACCTCACCTCCCACCAGTTTCACCATATGCCTGACATTCTGCAAGGTGTGGGGAGGGAGGTGATAAAGGAAACACTGGCCCTCTTTGTTTTCTGAGAAACACTCATTCAGAATAAAAACAAAACAAAATAGGGCACGACTGTGTAGCAACTCTAACCAGTCCAGTTCAGCTTCTCAGTCCCATCTGTCCTGGCCTCTTGAAAAGCAGGGGTGGAATTGAATTCTAAGCTCCTTTTTCTATTCTTGTGGTTCTCTGAAGGTTTGCAATGTGCCTGCTTATAAGCTTCAGCATTTAGGTAGCCCCAGTACCTTTTCAAGTTGCTCAAGAGGTCAACCACACTGTAATGATGTTCTCACATACTCTGGCCGCGGAAAGTTACTTGTCCAAGCTCCCTGGGAGCATGTCTTTCTAATACACATACACAGAGGAAAGTTAACAGGTAAGCGCCAAACACTTTCACTATTTTTCCTCCGAAGAAGGGAGCTGACTGGGAAGTCACGCTGTACTTCTTCCCAGATGAGATTCTGCAGCGTCAGAGCTGGCAAGGAATAGCAGATACTTCAAAATAGTGACTGCAAGAAACTTGAAGACATTATGCTAAGTGGAATCAATCAGGACAAATATTATCTGATTCCACTTACAGAAGGACCCTAGAATAGTCAAATTCAGAGACAGAAAGTAGAACAGGGGTCACCAAGGCCTTCAGGGAGGGGACAGTGGGGAGCGAGTATTTAATGGGTACAGAGTTCCAGTTCTGCAAGTTCTATGAGAGAAAGTTCTGGAGATGGATGGTGGTGATGGCTAATGCAACAATGTGAGTGGACTTAATGCCATAGAACTGTACACTTAAAAATGGTTAAAATGGTAAATTTTGTGTTGTGTCTATTTTGTTATGATGTAGGACAATGATACGACAAAAAATGTGGGCACTCAGCCTAAGAAATGAGGTCAAGCTTGAAAGGCAGCAAGCAGGCAAGTGAGTACTTGCATTTAATAACAGAATGCAGCCCTTGGTATTAAGCTCTAAGGAATCTGATGCTCCTACCCACAGGAGTTGCATCTACTGGCCAGCAGTCACTATGTCTGAAGGCAACGCTATCAGTGAGTACCGAAAACCTGGCCTCCCTGACGTTCTGCTTTCTTGGTTTACCATCAAGAACCCAGCAGGAATACCAGGCATCAAATGACATGTGCAAGATTGTTAAACGTGCCTAGAGAAAGAACATGCAAATACGGTAAGAAATTTTCTAAGGAGTGGTACAAATTCAAAGTGGAAGAGACCTTACAGAGAATCTTGTCCAGTGATTTTTCATATTTCATTTTTAGCAGAGGAATTCTCCCACATATAATCTTACACAGAACCCCAATATATACAGCGCATACAGCAAAAAAGGTGTGGCGCAGAGAATCCCAGAGTTCCATGAGGGCCCATTAGTTCCATGAAAGGCTGTGCAAAATGTGAGCTTTGTAACTCTAGTGGGAGGCACCACTCACCTCCTGGTATCACAGATTTTCAGTTATTAATAGGACAATTTTCCAGCAGATGGCAGTAGTATCTTGAAGGAAAGGATGCCTTTTAAAACTTGGCACAAAGTCTCTATATGCTGACTATACAGCCGAGTCCCATCCACTCAACACCCCAGAGTCAGTGGTTCCCAAGTTGTTCTGTCTTTATACATAGGAAATGAAGCCATTTGTAAAGCACAGGCAGAGAGGAGATGCAAATGGCCACTGGTCCCATGGGCCTAAAGAGATCCGTGTGCCATGACACAGCAGCTGGGATGCCCTAAGGCAAGGCTACAGAGCACAATTTGCAAACTACTGATCTCGTGACTGGTACAGTTCTTGTGTTTTGCAGGTGGAGATACTGGGGTTCAGAGAGGGTGAATGACCTACTCAAGGCCACAAATCTAAAAGTGAATTGAGCCCAAGTCTCCTGACTCCTTCTCTAGTGTTTATTCCATTGTGTCCACATCAAAAGAACTTCCCAGATGCTAGATGAAACAGGGTCTGTTATTGGTGCATAATTCCAAAAGAGAAATGATAGAAAAAAAGCAGTTTTCCCAAGGTGAAGGTCAAGAAGACAAAAAAGGGAAAAACATACCACTCTACACCTAGAATTGTGTAGTACCGTGCCCCTAATGATTGACACAGCTCCAGGGACAGGAAATTGGTCATAATGAACCAACTGGATATTAGCAATGGGTTTTTAAAACTCAAGCTTTATTACTTATTTTTTGGCACCATTGTCAATAATTCATAGAATGGGTCACTTGAAGCCACTCTAAATTACCAGGGAATACCCTCCCTGCACAAACACATCCCCACATACAACACTGAGTACAGAGGAATAGATTCATGGCCACTGCCTCCACAGTGTAAGAGATGAGTCTTGTCATAAGCAAATCTCAACTCTTTATTTGAATAGCCCAACTGTGGATTTTTGTAGTGGCTTTAGTCAGGCAAATCTATCAACATTTATTACTCAGAACATGTAAAAACATTGTAAGGCAGCTCCCAGTTCTTCTACAACATTTTTATTAAACCCCCGATTCACTGCTTATGGATGCTCAGTTCATGTGTAATGTTGCAGGCCCCATCTCAGCCCATCTTAATTCAAACTTAAAAACAAAAAGTTTGGTTCATGTACCCCTAGTCTTCCAGGAGCCAAATTCCAAATTAAGAGGACAAACAGTGCTTTCTGGTTCAACAGAACATGCGTGAGCAGTCCTAAGCCCAGACACTCAGCTGTCCCTGATGCAGTCTGGGACTTAGTCCATGTCTATCTCAGGCATTTTCTTCTGAACTTATAAATACTTCACAAGCTAAGGCAAAACCAACACAACCCAGTTTTGCATGTAAAGATTTGGGTCCCAACCATTAAATGATACTTTAAAGGGGAACTTATGAGTCTTTGTTCTTTCTGGGAATTTTTCTGAACAGGGGCAGCATGCGGGGAGGGGTCGAGGTGTGGGGGTGGAGTGAAAGTGGTGGGTCACTTCAGCTCAGAGAAAAATGGTCAAGGTATTGACCTACTTTCTGAAAGATACTAGAGACAAAGGAAATAAAGGATGAGATCAAGTGCCTAAATTCTTCTCAAATTATTATCATTTTTTTGCAAGTTTTTGCTAAAATGAGAAAGGCCAATTCCATTTACTCTGGTGTAGACCCCTTTAAAGAGTCATTCAATCTATGAAGGGACCTCCTAGATTTGTGGCCCATGAAAATCCCCTCTCCTGGTCACAATGTACAAATATTTAAAAATACATGACATGACTTCTCCCAAATACGGCTGTCTTCAGTTGCTTTATTACTGCCCCTTTGCAGCAGAATGGTGAAGGTGGGCGAGACAGAGTGACATCAGGAACGCCAGAAGGAGGAAGTCAGAAAGCCCTTGGGGACAGGAATCTCCTTGTGCTGCAAACACTTCTGATCAGGGAAAGACAAAGAAAACAAAATGATTTTCTGATTAACACTGCTTCCAACACCTGACAGTTGGCATAAACTTTGAAGGACAGCAAGTTTAAGTCAGTCCTATGAACAGTGGTCAAAAAAAAGGTGGTGACTTCACCTCCTGCATGAATGGCAGCAGAGGACAAGTGCCACATTATTACTATGTCTGCCCCTCTCTCATCCCCTGCACCTGGCTTCACCTCTCACTACTGCTATTTCCTCCACTGGGCTCCTGGAAATTGGAAGTCAGTGGGCTTTCTCGGCAGACCTACCACAGAGTTCTAAATTATTTGTCAAAATTAACCTCTTCGAAGTTTTTTGGCACTTGGAAGAAGGAGAGGATTTTGGCTGAAAGTGCGGTCTCTTCTTGCAGAGAAGTGACCACATTTACCAGTTCTGCAGACCTGAGACTGAGAAAAAAACCTTGGCCAACATGCAAAAAATGTATCAGGGAGAGAAGATTCATAAATATATTTTATTCATCTCTTATGATAGCTTCCCCATTGGCAACATGGACAACAGCATGTAGGAAGATGATGACATGGTGGCCCTTAAGGTGAAAAGAGAACAATGGACAAAAAAGCAGGGTTTTTTTTGGAGGAAGAGACTGCAGTCAGTCTGGAGGCCCAAGACTTGTCAGACACAGGTGCACTGGAGGCTGACAACAGTTTGGAACATGTTGGTCTAAGGGCATCTTACCTCCAAGAACTGCTTGAGGCGTATGAAGGAACCCATCTGTCCTGAGCTTGTGATGGCTTCAATCCTACAGGGAGAGAGAAAAGACACCTGAGTCACACCTATGATTCACTCCTATCTTCTGGAGAGGAGTCAGGTACCCGCTGATCTGAAGGAAAGGGTAGATCAAAGGACTCACAGAGGTCTTCTAGAATAAGGATGCTGTCACCCTACTAAATGGTCTCAACATTCAAACAAGGGGATAAAAGAGAAGAGAACACTGTTCTTTCCCAAGGTCTCTGATCAGGTGGGATGGGTGTTGTCAAAGCCTTTGCCTGACTTGAAATGCCATGAGTTGAGAGGAGTGAGAAGGGTACTTGCAGGTGAATGCCACCTCAGAGTCAAGCAAACTGGCTGACAAATCTGTTGCACCAACTGATTTACTGAGTGAGGGGGTTTGACTCCTTGGTTTCATTCATGACTGCATGTAATCATCATCCCAGATTATCTGGGGGATTTTGGAAAAAAAGAGTTAAAAAGAAGTCAAGTATCTGAATCCAAGATCTTCCTAATTTGTTTTTTTATTTAGCCCAAAATATTTAAGAGAGATTCTTATTAGAGCTCAAAAGCATTTACTCAAATAACAAAGGATGGGAGCAGAAGATATTTCACTTAACACAGGTACTTTTAGCTGAGTCAGAAACAGCAGGTAACAGCAGCCAGGGGGATCTGACATCATGAGTTTTTACCTACCAAATCCCCCGGTGTCTACTCAATACGTCTAATACCTGGGGAAGTAGTCCTCTTTGATGAGAAGTATCATCTTCCAGAACTGGAACTGGTACTGCTTCATGAGAGCATTCCCACACACCTAGAGGGGCAGACAGGCACCGTCAGAGCAGAGAAGGAAATTCACACTCATACGAGAGACCCATGAAGCATAATTAGCCCTTTGCCTTTCATTCCTATCAAGAATTTCAGCCTCAATGCCACTTAGCTAGGTACACAAGGGAACTAACAGAAAAATCCAACTTTCTTCTGAGCATTTCTCATATATGGCAGTACTTCCATTTAATCAGACTGCCCGGTAGCCAGGTGTTTCAGAAAACGTAAATCAAACTTAACTTACTATTCTTTGATTCTAAAGGTCTGGCATGCTTTCCAACCATAGTAAGCAGAGGATACAGGGTACCACCTGCGTTCTCAGTGATTCAGGATCTCAATGTTCATGTATTGTAACTTCAGGAGCTTTAAGGTGACTAGAAATTGTTGGCATTGGGTCCTGGATTTGTTATGGTACGTACCCCAAGCCACTATTCTTTAAGAAGGGTCTTCTTCCCACAGAAACCCTTACCCTATAGTGGGGCCCTTTAGGCAGACAGGACTATACAGAGCTTTCTAGATGAGACAGATACCTGATCCAAGCTGGTTAATCATATTTTCTCTCCTGGAAATTAGCAATCACAATGGTGGGACATTAGTCCCACTACACTGGGTGAGCACACTGAGGCTGAGGAATACAGCCCAGGAAGGCCATCCTCTCCACTGTGCACAGAGAACCAGAAAACGCTGGCCTGCAGAGCAAGAATGAGGCAACCTGCAGGAAGAGCACATATGAAAGACCATGCCGTCCCAGAGGGAGGCTGTCCTGGTACCTGGTGACATTCCAGTTCCTGGCTTCAGGCCTTGATGAGATTCAACTGTACATCCTACCCTTGATTCTGGGAGTCAGTCACTTCTATATCCCTAAAACAAATTCCTCTTTTCACTTGTCCTGGGATGTATAGTTCTCTGTTCCTTACTATGAGAAGACACCCACACAGAGAAGGAAAGTACAGTAGGAAGAAAATCAAAGGCTACATTTGCCTTGGGGCTTGGGGAAAAATTTATGACACTGGGCCCTATATGCTGTTCACCATTATTCTCTAATTCTGTATTTCTTCCCGAATCATGTCACACAATGGCCCAAGGCTGCTACAACCACTGCTCTCTTGTGTGTTAACTGTATCACATACCTCCAAGAAGTCAAAGAGGAGAGTGGCCGTCACATCCGACAGGGGCTCCATGTTTAAGATCTGTGCCAACCAGCGCCAGCCATGATTTAAGCCATGAGGGTGAACCTGGGAAGAGAGAGGCTTGGTCACAATTTGATCTCATTTTATTCAGAGATCCAAATTCCCAATGTCATCATCCACCATTACCAAGGGGACATGAACCCCCAGATCATCTCACCTAAGCACATGCCACAGGGCAGAAACAACACAAGCCAAACAAATTTTGTTTTAAAATATTCCAGCACATTGGTACCCACATACTCTTCCCAAGCTCCCTTCAACACACAGCTGTCAGCTTCAGTTTCAGTTTCAGGGATTCCACAGTTACTCTTATAGATATTTTATTTATTGTTCTTGGGACCTTTAACACAGAACCTAGGACATAACAGGTACACATTAAAAACATTTTGGACTCAATCAGCTTATATTCCTTTCTCTTTAGGTCTCCAAGTCCATTAATTTATTCATCCCTCTAATCTCTATTCCTTGAAAAAAGAACCAGGCTGGCAACCCTGAAGCCCTGGCCCCCAGCCGTGGCTCTATTATTGACAAGTGTATATCACTACAGCTTACTAAGCCTCCACCCGTCCACCTGTGAAGGTGTGTGACCTAGATGGCCTCTGAGGCAGCAGTCAGTCACTGAGCAAATGACCCTGATGACCCAAAAGTTTCCTACTAATCAATATCAACCTCTCTAAAGAATACCTATGAAGCAGCGATATTCTTTCATTTATCATGTAACGAGACCGCCTCTCTGAAAGGTCAATATTGCCTGCAGGTTAGATACACTAGTATGGACTGTGGTCTGACCTCTCATTAGTGATAGTAACACTACCTCTTGTCGGTTCCCATACGGCCACCGGAGCTGGATGATGGCAGCATAGAGACGGATCATCCCAGACATGCGTTTTAGAAAGTTGTCCTGCTGTTCCACTTTGGAATCCTTCACTTGGTAGCCAAGCATCCTGTGTGGCAAGAAAAAAATCCAATGCCTGTATATTATTATACATTATACCTTATATACATATTACAACATTGGTAGAACGTAATTTTTTTTTACAAAGCACTCACATCCATTACCAAATCTGTGCATCATACAAACCCTATAACGTAAATTCCCAGGAGCTAATGGATGTCACTAACCCCATTTACAAATAATGAAAATGATGTGTAAAGAGGTAACATGATGTCCCCATTTTTGCAAAGCTATTAAAAGACAAAGCAGGGATACAATTCTAAGACCCCCAGATTCTAAGAATCAGTGGATTCTTTCCACTATGCTACACTGATTACTGATCCTAAATCCACAAATTTCACAAGTCATCCAGTTTGCATGAAAGACACTGTATTCTCTGATAGGACATCGAGGTACGTAAGAGGAGCTGAGAGGAGGGAAAACGAACCCCATCCTGTTTCTATTTCATCAGCCCCCAGGGACAGTGTGTGAGGAGAAAAATAACTTCACCTCTGATAATCCTCCAAAGCCATTCCCTCCTTGAAAGCTGGATAGAAGGGGACAGAATAAGGACACTTCTTGTGCAGATGAGCGAGAATGAGGTCCCCCACTCTGGGGTGGAGCTCCCAGATCCCGGACGCCACCACCGCAATGGGGAATGCCGCTTCATGATGAGAGGCCACTTCCTCCTCTCCTTGTTTCTGGGAGCACAGAGAGGGGGTGGCTTTATGTTAATACCCGAGAATGCTGTGCACCGGCCTCTTCTTCCCATACCTCTGGCAACTAGGTTTCTCACCACAAATTTCTCTGCCAGCTTGTACTGGACGAAGTCCAGGCCCTGTGGGTTAAGTGTGACAGACACAGAGCGCCCACCAGATTGAACGGGCTTTCCAGAGAGTAAGCTGTGGATCTTGTCAAAGATCTCCTTCAGCTTTGAGCCTGGGTATGACAGAGAGAAAGTTAGTTAAAAGATACAGCTACAGTCAACCTATTTTTCATCACTGTAATAACAGAGCCTCTATGTAAACCCAGCTGTGCAGCCCTACAGAAATTCAGAGCCTAAAGCCAAAATACTGATGCAGGAAAATATATGACAATCAAATATATGTTGTGGTGGATGCAAAAGCACATAAGGCAGGGTACTATTTCAAAGGAATTTCTTATTTGTGGAATGCGCTAGTTCTGAAACTGACACATCAAACAGAGAAATGAACAGTATAGAAACAGGTGAATTGTTACAGATGCCACGGGTGTGGCTGATGGCCCTAAAAGAGTCATCTGCGTCTCTACGGAAAACCTACCAAAGGCTCTTCCCAGCTCACAAAGATTCCGCCCCCTTCTCTCAGATCTGCCTTCCTCCATCCTCAGAGACAGAGAAGCTACATTTCTATCACAGATCCTGTGAGCTCCATCCTCCATACTGACTTAGATTAGGACTAGTCAAGCTGAGCCAATCAGCCAGCTGAGAGTCCACTCACTATAGTGGCTGGTCCTGTGACACATGCGAGCAGTGGGGCTTTGCCCCTGCCATGTGGACCAAAGAACAGCGGTCTACAAAATTAGAACACAGGAGAAGAGGGAAGCCAAGAGGAGAGAGAAAACGGTTCTAAAATTTCTGGCTCCTGAGATCCAACCCCATCCCTACCATTAGTTTCTGTGAAACGGCTTTATCTTTAGGTACAAGTTCCCCCTGCACACACCTTTTTCTTTTCTTTTTCTTTTTTTGCTTAACCAGATCTGAATTAGTTTCCATTACTTAAAATCAAAGTTTGAATGAATACAGCATCTCTAGTTTAGAAATACCCTGCCAAGTTTCTAATCACTTCAAGAAATGTTAAAAAATCTCAGAAATGTTATCCCCAAACCATGGATTCAGTTCCATTAAAAGGGGGGAGGGCAGCCACATTTCTTAGGAAGGAAGAGAAGCAGGAAGAAACCAAGAATTAAATGAGATATCATAGAAACCTCAAGGCATTAGCCCAGAAAAACAGAAACAGCAACTCAAATCTTACTGAAATATTAAAATATATCCATTTCCATACAAATTTACTCAGTCCACAGTCCTGCTAAGTCACACTCTATTACTACTTTACTGGAGGTTTCAAAGGGTGCTACTGGCTGAGTTCCCATCCAGCCCGTCTCCACGCCTCTCCAGGAAAGTCAGCCCCCAACCCTATGCCTGATGCGGCCCCCTTCCCACTTCCCATATGCCACACCAGCACCATATCTTTATTTAAACTCTGCTCCGATCTAATTACTCATGGACATCCCCCGTTAAAGAGGCAGGATTTAGGTCATCTCTTTCTCAGTCAGTCAACATTTACTAAGTATTAACTCTAGACAATATCTGGGCCTGGCTGGACTGAAAGCTCTTAAAGGGTATGGTAATGATGGCGACAAAGGGACATAGTTACAAAATACGTAGGAAAAGGAAGAACGGCAAAACTAGAGCCTGATCAGTTACAGAGAATGAAATGCAGGAAGCAGTCGTGGGGATGACCCCCCCGGTTTCCAGCTAAGGTGACTGAGTAGATAAGGTGTCCTGGATTACCTAGAGCAAACAGACAAGAGGTGGGCATAAGGAAGATGACAAGTTCATGTCCAAACACACTAAACATGAGGAATCTGAGAGACATCCAGGCAGTGCTATCCCATGGGACAGCTGGAGCGAGGGAACCTGAAACTTAGAGGAAAGGAATGACCCAGAGACAGAGCTGGGTATTGTCTGCACAGCTGAGGGGCAGTGTAGATGAAGAGAATGAAAGGCAAGAATGCATCCTTAGGATACACCTACAACTGAGGAACGTACAAAGGAGGAAGAGATGGAGGAGGGGAACCTGGAAATTAATGTTGCCATGGAAGCCCGAGGAGTAGAGTTGACAGAGAAGGAAAACAGTGCCAAAAGGAAACATGAAGATTAGAAAATACTGAGAAGACACAGAATCAAAAGACATATATTTTAGAATGTGAATGACAAGCATATTTAAAGGGAAACAAGCCTGCAAAGGGGAGTAATTTTTCAGAAAACAGGAGAGATCTCTCTTGAAGGAGATGGGAGGGGATGAGAACAAGGTTCCTGAGGCTATTCAAGGTTGAGGCAGAAGGGTGAGCCTGGGCCAGAAGGATACCCCATCCTTTGAAACAGGAGACTAAGAGGTAAATACAGCTGTGTATCAGAGGGAGGGCAGGCCTCTGAGGACCTCACACCTGACATCTCAGTTTTCCTGATGAAGGAGGCAGCAAGGCTGTCTGCGGTCGGCTGAGGTATGTATGTATGTATGTATGTATTTATTTATTTATAAACTTTTTTTTAAATTGAGTTATAGTCATTTTACAATGTTGTGGTGGTTTTAAAGCCTGAGGACAAGCCTGAGAAGAGCAGCGATGTCTGGTCAACCACTCCCCTGCTGCCACTGCCATCAAGGAAATGGCACTTTCAATTCCAGAAAGTGGTATGTGTTTATTTATGTAGACCTTGCCCTGTTTCAGAAGGAATTCCAGGCAGCAAAGTGATATGTAAGTTCTGTAGGAACTGCAACCTTTTATGCTTTTGGGTAACAAGTTAACCAAGGGAAGCGGGACCCCAGCTAAGGCAGTGCAGCCTGCCAGCCGTATGCGCTCCCCAGCCATTTGGCGGCACAGCCTGTACTATGGAGGCTTCCACATCTAGAGCTCTGTGAAAATGAACCTCTGCTTCTAAGAAGAGGAAGAAGGGCCCCTCCCCTGCCTGATTCTTCCTCTCTAAATCTCCGCCCCTGAAGAGAAAAGGATCTCAACTACTAACAAGCAGGCTTCAAGTTTGGAAAAGCTAATGTTATAGGACAAAAGCAAAGAATGCAAGTCACATGCTAGGTTCCTTTAGCGCTGCTTTCAGCAGTCTCTTCCAACTTCAAGTTAGAGTCATCCTAAGGAATTTACTATCAATATACAGCTTATTCCCTAAAAAATGAGTCAACAAACACATAATGATTATCTTCAATGCGTTGAGAGGAAACAAAGCAGGAAAAAAGGATGCATAGAGCTTATATACTTGATCCGGCTATCAACATTTGTTTGAACTAATTCTATTTATAGGAACCTTACAGATAAGCATGTTTGGAGTCTCAACAAATATCACAATGAAGTGAAGGGCCATGTTCTTAACTCCTCTGACCAACCTGCAATGGTGGAAATTTGGCTCACGGGGATGGTGGCAGCCTTCTGGAGGTCCATCTTTATCTTTTTGGCCTGCCAGAAGAAAGCAGTGAAAAGGCAGATTGTGTTTGGCAGAGCTGAGGGGATGCCATCAGGATTAGGGACTGTGACACACTAGCCACATTCCTTTGGACACGGGGCTGTCGGGGGCACTGTCAGGCCCTGAGAATTCCCAACTCACAGCCCTCCTACCTGACTGTCTTTGCTGTTGGTCAGTCCCTCAAAGGCCAACACACACTGACTGGAGGCGTCCTGCAGCTGCTGGTACCACTGCATTGTACTGTCCTGTACCTTCACCTGGAGGTCTGAGCAATGAAAGAGAGGCATTCATAATAGCAGAATTTATTGAACACTTAGTATCAGCCAGGTACTCTTCTAATCACCTAATATATGTATTAACTGCTTTCACTGTCACAATAATCCTATGAGGTAGACACTATTACTATCTTCATTTTACAGATAAGGTAACAGGTATAGGAAGGTTAGTAATTTGCCAAAGTCACATTGCTTGGAAGTAGAAAAGTTAGACTCCCACTGATCTAGCTCCAAGCCAGTGTTCTCAAACCATTATGCTACGTTGATTCTCTTAGGTATTCAACAAACATATATATATATGTATGTAATATAAATGGAGGCACTGGGGATTGAATCCAGGACCTCTTGCATCTAAGCATGCACTCTACCACTGAGCTATGCCCCACTTTAACAAAACATATATTTTTTACATATTTATTTAAAATACTCAGTAGCAACAACACTTAGAATACATCTACCAGAATTACACAGAATTTCAAGTCCTCATGGCAAGTGTCGGAATCTGATGTCAGGCTCCCTATCAGCTAAATCTGAATGTCATTTCATTAAAAGTACTGAATTTTACATTATGTAGAAGTTCTGGTAAACTGTCCTGTAGCTTAATACAATATGCAAAACACATTCTTATTTCTTTTCATAGTCTGAAACTTACATCAAGTTAAAGGACCGTTTCCACACGCAGACCCACCTTCATTCTGTTTCACTCCCAGGCCCTGGCTGGGAGCTGGGGACTCTTTATGGACCTCTGGCCCCTGCTGCATCTGTGACTCTTGCCGCTTCATCTGGGCCTCCTCTTCATCCTGCCGCTTTTTGTCCTCACAGGCCCTGGTGATCTCCTGCTGCAAGTTCGCAAGGAGGTCCCGCATTTCCTGCAGCGCTCTCTCAGCCACAACCTGGTCCTCTGCTGTGGGAAAGACGCTCTGTCACAGTGACAGAGGCAGAGCCTAGTGGTTATTTCCTAGGTAGCTGTGGTGCTGAAACATACCTCACGCAAGTCCATAAACTTGTAGAACTGGCATTGTTGTGCCAGTGGAGCACCCACATTCAACACGCTCACACCTGCTGCTTTCCTGCTCTTAAAGGGAAGACCGCTTTACCATCACATCCACAGTATTGAAGCAGAGCTTTTTCAGGCTCTCACCAACACTGGCCGGAATAACTTTTTAAAAGCTTGTGACAACAGTCTAGACGGAAATAATACTGTTTTAATTGGCATTTCATATATTAATGGTGATTTTGAACTTATTTTCAAATTTACCAGACAATTATATATCTGCTTTTATAAGCTGCTTGTCCTGTCCTTTGCTCATTTTCCCTTTACCGAGATGGAGGTATTTAGGGAGCGATTTATTCATCTTTTTTCCATAAATTGCAAGACTTCTCTTTTTGTATCAGGGACACTGAATTTTGGTCTGCTGTATAAGTTATAAATATATTTCCTAACTTGTGATGCACCTTTGACTTTTAGGCACTCATATCCATTGGTCTTTTCCATTATTACTTTTGCTTTTACTGCTATGCTTATACAAGGCATCATTACCTTAATATAATTCAAATATTCACCTAGATTTTTTTCCCACTGAACATAATGTCTTCCTTTTTGTCTATCTCTTTGTTTTTAAATCTAAACATCCAAGAAATAAGGAATTAGTAAGATAAAACAATGGTACAAATTTAATCTTTGGTTTTATGCTTCTAAATAATCCATCTTTTCCCACTGACTTGAAATGACATCTTTATAATATATTAATTATCTACAAAAACTTTCTCTCCAGGGTTGCTACCCTGTTCCTCTAATTTTGCTGTCTGTACCTCTGCAAGAAGAAACTGCTTTGATAGCGATGTTAGAAAATATTTTTATATTTGATTAGGAAATCCCCCTTTACTAGGTTTCTTTTTGAAATAGTTCAAAATGTTTTATTAGAATCTCACTAAATTTATTGATTTGGGCAAATCTGATTGCTTAATGAGGCTTCAGAAACATGGTAAATTCTTCCATTTACTCAAGTCTTGTTTTGTAAATTCAATAAAATTTTTTGCCTTTTAACGTAAATCACATCCATTTCATGCTAGATGTTTGTAGGTATTTTATATTCCATCGTATTTTTAACTCTTTTTTGCCAGGATATTTTACATTCTGGGTACTAGTAAAGTCTTATTAAAAAAAGTCTAATAGTTCCCAGATTTTTACTCTGGGCTTTTTAGCTAGATAATTATAGTCATCAAATTACACTACTTGATTTAAATATTTATACTTTGTTTTTAATTGCCTTGTATTGGCTAAAACTTCTATAAAAACATCAAACAGTAACAATGGTATATTTTTATTTCTTTCCTAAGTTTAATGACCTCTCTGAAATGTAGCCTTAGATGAATACATCCTCTTCATCATGTTAATGAGGATCACACTTTTATTCTTAGCATGCACTTTTACAGTATCTGATGAAATTAATGATACTGTTTCCTTAGCCTATTAGTGAAACGAATTCTAAATAGATTATATAACATCTAAACCAGCTTTACATTATTCTTAGAATGCTAATTCTTTGGTTATACTGAATTATTCCTTTGAGGCACTGACAAATTTGAGTTATCTTTTATTTAGAACATCTGCTTATAAATCAGATCACGTTAAGTCAGACTGATGCGGACACGTCCTTTAGTGTACTCTTCTGTCAGAACTTGACTATTAGGACTTTAAAATGAATTGAGAAGCTCTGCATCATTTTCTCTGTTCTGTCCTATAAACATGTTTCATAGTTTTGCCTGTTAAATCAATAAGGCCTCTACTGTATTATATATCTGAAAGGTACTAAGAGAGTAAATCTTGAAAGTTCTTGCCACAAGAAGAATAAAATTTTTTGTGACTCTGTATGGTGACAGATGGTAACTAGATTTACTGTGATCATTTTGCAGTGCAAATATTGAATCACTATGTTGTACACCTGAAACTAATGTTATTGGTGGATTACACCTATGAAGAAAAGCAACAGAAATAATGAAATGTTAAGATATTTGCAATACACTTAAAACAACAAGATGTCTTATTTTACTTTTTATTAAAAAATTTTTACTGAAGTATAACATAACAATATTATATTAATTTCAGGTGTATAAAATAGTGATTCACATTTATATATATTATGTATTGAAATCCTCTTATTTTAAACCAACTTGCCTCACATAGAAAACAGCAGCAACAAAAAAATTTTACAGGAAATTCATGGTAAGTTTTGTCTTTTAGGTATTAAAATGTATTATAAAGCTATATCAATTAAAATAAGGTGATCCTTGTATAAGAATAAAAACACATGGTCAAGGAAACAGAAAAGAATACTGAGAAAGAGCTCTTAGGACAGTATTCTGTGTGATAAGAGACATTTACAAATCACGACAGAAAGTTGTTATAAAATAGTATGAATATTCTACAACATAAAAATCTTTATCTTCACCAATCATCAAATACATTTCAGGTGGTTAAGTAAGGGGAAAAGCCCAAAACATCCTTATATCAAAAATGTCATAAACTATGGCTGCACTCAATACCAACACAGCAGAGTTCTATGCAGTTATACAAAGACATGAAGAAAATTCCACATGCTGCAAAGCAGTGATCACCACAATAAATTGAGTGCAAAAAAGCAAGGTCCAGAATGGTGAATATAGTAAGTTATCTTTTATCTGGGAAGGGGCAGAGATATATATACATATATTTATTTACAAATACATATTTGTGTACATATATATGTACATGTATGTGTATATATGTACGTGTATTTGCTCTTGTTTTTAAAGAATGGACACAAGATCCAAAAGCTAACAGAAACGGTCATGAGCAGAGGGGACAAGAACAGGGTAGAAGCAAAAGAGAAGGAAGTCAGGCTTCTTCAAATACAGCTTGCTTTGTAGTTCTGACTTGGGAACCATATAAATGTTTTAAATAAGTATAAAATTAAATCCAGTTAAAAAAAATTCTTAAAAAGCAAAAGCAAAAATGAATCCAAGTGTTTACCAAGTTGGTAGCTTAATAAGGAAAATTATTTCAAGTGCAATTAAATAGTAATTTAACTGTACATCCCTTAGTGGTCTACAGCTGTAGGCAAAATGGCAAAAGAAATCTTAAGCTGTTATCAGCAATCATATTGTTAGTATTGGTATTATTATTTTGAAATTATGTGCTATGAAATTACATATCTACATACCTACATTTTATCACACATAGTAGGATAAGGTAAGTAAGTAATGTTCTTTTTGTTCTTTTTTTGGGGGGGGGAAGGGAAGGTAATTAGTTTAGTTATTTATCTTTTGGAGGAAGTACTGGGGATTGAAACAGGACCTTGTGCATGCTAAGCATGCACTCTACCACTTGAGCTATATCTTCCCAAGTAAGTAATGTTCTTAATTTACAAACTGAGATTTTCAATGTGGGGTAAAAATGATACACACATAAAAGTAAAATAGCTAAATAAATGCTGTAACCCTATACTCAAATGGAAAAGTTCAGCATGAATTAGTGATGCATTTTCACCTAAAAAAATACGTATTTTCCTACTTCTATCCATTGAAAAGAACTAAAAAAAAAAAATGACAAATCCTAGTAACAAGACTGTGTTTTCTAATCCCCTTTTTCCACTAACAGGTAATAAGGCTTCTTGAAGAAACGCCTGATTCTAGGTCTGGAGAAGAAACCGTTCAAGATGAGGCAGATACAGCTTGCTTGCTTTCTGCTGCAACAAACACTACTGGGGCCACGTTCAAAGGACAGAGGAGCCAATGTGGAGGTTTGAACAACAACAACAAAACTATACTAGGTTAAAATATATTACACGTGAAGTATTATAAAATTCATGTGTTCTTCACAACATTGTAAACTGACTATAACTCAATAAAAAAAAATTCACGTGTTCTTAATAATAGTTTAAAAAAAAGGAAAAAAACCTCTCAAGTCACTGTAGAATGCTAGAAAGGCAACTCACTTTTGTGTAGGTTTGACACTTTACAAAGAAAAAGGTAAAACAAAAGCTATAAAGAGAATTGAAAGGTAACAATAAACTACCAGCTTTTGCCTTAAATGTGATAAATGCTTCAAGTTCTTAACTTTTAGAACTCATTTAAGTTGATTTTTTATAAGACAAACTCTAGTGGAGATACGAACTAGGGACAAAGAATATACAATTCATAAAAGTGAGAATTGGTACAACTTTTGGATGTGAATTAAGAACCTTAAAATTCTTTGACCAAGTAATTTCATTTCTAGGAATTTACCTCTAAGAAATAATCAGAAATACAGATGAGACATACATAAAATGATCACTGCAGTGTTAGTCATGACAGTGAAAATCCAGAAACTTAAATGTTCTACAACAGACATGTTTTTTCAATCAATTGGTTACATGCTGGAAGTATCCGATTTCATCTGTTCATCAAATATTTATTGAATACCTATTATATGTCAAAGCAATACTTGCAGTTTTTAACACTGCCTTAAAAACACCAAAATATTTGTAATGATTAGAGTAATTATGTGTTTAAAACACAATGTTACCTGAAAAAAAGCAATATACATTTCTGTAAGATTTTAATTTTTACCATAACCACAGCAGGCGTTCAGTATATATTTATGAATGAACTAAAGTATTCTGCAATTAGAAGAAACAAATAATTTTTAACATAATATAAGAAACTTTGTATCTATATTAGCCCATTTTAGAGTGGGGATAACACACATACACACAATATAAAATGCTAATGTGGTTATCTCTGGGTAAGGTGATGATAAGTGATAATAAGAAGGCATTATTTTTAAATCAGAAAACAATTTTGCTTTTAAGGGTCTTCACTTCAAAGACAGAAGACAAGAGTCTTCCTGAGCCCCCTTACCTCAGAAGTGGCCCGGATGATCCCTGAGATGAGGCCGCACAGCTGGTTGCCTCGGGTCTGGAAGGCAGACAGGTCAGCCTTCAGCAGGTCTCGGTGCTGGTCGGCGGAGTCCAGCTGCTGGCTGAGGTGCAGCACCTCCTCCTGCAGGGCATAGAGGCTCCGCAGGCGAACCAGGCCTTCTTCCTTCCGGAGTCGCTCCTGCTCCGCTTGCCTCAGGCGCTGTTGCTCTGCCTCCCGCAGCTTCAGGTTGAGAATCTACAGAAAAAGGTGTCAAATTAAGGGGCTCCTGGGCCTTCTCTTTCTACATCCCTCAAGTCCTACATGGGCTACGTATTTTCACAGCTGGGCCCAGAGCAGAAAAAGGACTGCTCAAAGGCAGTCACACCGGGGCAGGATACAGGCCAGGGCCCCTGTGACTGCTAGAACCTGACTCTCCAGGCAGGTCACATACAGCCAGGCACTGAAACACCCACAGATTCTCCAAGCTCTGACCTTTGCTCTGTGACGATGCTCAGCTTTTAGCTTCTCCTGCTGCCCCAGGGCTTCTCTGGAGCTGAAACGAAAATGGCAGGAATAGTCAGGGATGCTTCCTAAAACTGTATCACCTCTCCTAAAAGCCTCGCTTTCTTTTTGTCACATCGGTTACCTTTCCAAGGTTGGTCACTTTTCTAGGTTATAAGCTCCTCTGGCTATTTTATTTTGATATTTAAGGACTCACAAGTTGTTCAATTCCTTCCCTTTGGGTTTTATATTGGGGAAGAGTTCCAGTTGATCGCGCTGACATTCCTAATTGTAATCCAGGGAGACTCACCTCTTCTCCATCACTTCCCGTAAGTCCTGGAATTCTTTATGTAGCTTCAGTTCCTTCCGTTCATCAAACCGCTTCAGTTGTTCAGATGCCATCTCAGAGAGGGCTCGCACCTTCCTCTCCTGCTCCTCTTGCCATTGCCTCAAGCCTTCCTGAAAAGGATCAGCACGTGCTCTCTGGAGCTCCATTACACCCTGCTCATTCACTCCTGGGGGATGCCCTCCCATCAGTCCTTAACTGCATCAAAGATACTCCAGGGCGTGAAATCACCTGCCTACTTCTCAAAGCCTTAGCTTGAATCACCTCTCCCCTGCAGGTTGATCCTTAAACTCGGCTGTTTTGGAAAGCTTTTTCAATTTGCTCTATATGGTTTATGTCACTCCAGTGTAAGCTAAGAATAGATGGGTATTTACCGACATAGTATCAAATAGCCCTGTACTTAAGCTTCCATCCTGTGTATTCTCATGAGGGTTTCAAAGTAACCTAAAGAAATCCTTATTCTAATCCCATAAACATGCCATGCACATTCTTGTCTCACTCCTTTCCTCATGTTATCTCTGCCTAGATTCTTCTCCCATACCTTCCCTTAGGAAGTCCCTTCCCTTTATACCCAAGGGTGTCAGGTAGTCCACTCATTATTCACGAGAGTACTCTAACTTGGTTCTTAAGGGCAATCTGACATCTTAACTATCAAAATTTAAAGTGTATATTTCCTTCAACACTAATTCCATTTTAGGAATTTGTCCTGAGGAAATACTTGCGCATGTGTGTGCAAAGATACATGTACAAGGATGCTCACTGCAGCCCTGCTGATAATGGCATTGTGGGGGAGGGTAGAGCTCAGTGGTAGAGTGAGTGCTTAGCATGCATGAGGTTCAATCCCCAGTACCTTCATTTAAAAAAATAATTAAAGAAATAAACCTAATTACCCCCCCAAAGCAAACAAACAAAAAGATAATGGCAATAAACTTGAAACAATTTAAATAAACAGATGAATAATTAAATATACTACAGCTGGTCATACCAGAGGATACTCTTCAGCCTTTAAAGAGGATGACATGCTATACATAGTGTCATGGAGATACATCAATACATATAAAGATATTATGCTATTCTATTTTTAAAGTTATTTAAAAATGTCCAGTGCAAGAAGGCAAATTGAACACAAGCTTATTTATCCTTTCCTGTGAGACTATTTAAATAAAAGTGGGGAAGAAAAAAAAGACTCAACAACAGAGAGCACACGAGGGAGATCATCGGCAGGGAAAAAACTTCCATTTATGTCTGGAAGACAAACTCCACGGAGGAATGATGAGTGGCAGGGCAGAGCTGAGAAAACACAAGGACAGGGACACACACACACACACACCTCTGTCTCTCTCACCATTTCTCACCATCTCCATTGCTACCCTCCCCCGAGTCTAAGCAACAATCATCTTTTTTTATCCAGTGTCACAGCGAATGCTTCAATGAGTGTTGCTATCTCTCATTCAGATTATATTAGTCTTCTAACTATATTTTACTTATTTCTCTTGGTTACTTCTGTCTCCTCCCCCAGCATATAGGTTCTGCGAGGACTTGGAAGTGTGTCTATTTTGTTCGCTGTTTTATGTAGACCTAGAACAGAATCTAGCACATAAATCCTCAATAAATATTTGTTGACTCCATGAATAAATGAACAAGGGCAGATGCCAGAAGACTTTCACTTGATAAACTCATATACTCTTTAAAATAAAAGTCAAATAAATTAATTAAAATAGTGCTATTCTTTTTTTAAGAGGCTATTATGGTCCATTTTCTCAGTAACTTATCTGACAACCTCAGATCATCTTCAAATTTTGGAGCAGTAAATGGATGCCAGGAAAGCCCAAGTAATTTTCCCAAAGTCACACGTAAAATAGAAGAGCTAGGATTTGAAACCAGACTTGACTTCACAGAGCTCACTCCTGACTGCTGCATTATACTATCTCCCCAGCCGAATCGGAGCTACTAGCAGGTGGGGCTCCATGATTAGCATACGGTGAAGGGGAATGTTCATAATCCCTGAGGAACTGCACTTAAATGTGGCTCCCTAGGCTCAAGCCTGCCTTACTTCACGGGTTACTTACTGCTCCTTTCATCCTGTGCACCAGTTCATACATTCGGATGCAGCCTTCCACTTTGATCCCCCGGGAGGACTGAAGCACCATAGGTCCTGTATGCTGAGACTCATGTTTGTTCTGTGTAGACAGAAGATGGAAAAATTACCCTTTTAAGATGGTAAAGTTGGTGTTATTCCGTCTAAACAAAAAACACATTCCTATTTATGAACAACAACCAATGAAAATGACAAAATAATTTAGGTTAGAATCAGTGTGCTTTTCATGATATTGACTTTGTTCTATTTACCTTTATAAATTAATGGATGTTTTTGCTTTGGACAGTTTGTTTGTGTTATTTTAATTTATTTTCTTACATACTGGTTGTATTGATGTGCCCTACAAATTTCCTCCCTTTCTTCTAATAAGTATCCACTTTTGCTAGGGTGGTTTGGATGGAGCAACCTTAACCCGGATCGCCAATTCTTCCACTGCAACTCCCCCCACAGCTTCAGGGGTCATTAAGCAGGTGACCAGCCTGGCAGTCAATGTACTCTATCACCCTGGGTCCAATATCTGCTTCAGGAATGAGCCTTATGACCTAAACTAAGCCAGAGTCAATCTCTGCACTTCTCTAATGTAGCTGCTTGGGAGAGCTTTCTCTTCTTCTGGGGATGCTAACCTAAGAAGATATGTGTCTAGGCCACCAACAGACGTCTTACCACATACAGTCTATCTGAAAGATGAAGCCAAGAAGAGTTAGACAAAATTGTGAGATGAAGAAGCAAAGCCTTGTCTTTGGGTCACTGGATCAAGCCAGAAATAATATTAAGCAGAGACAAGCAGCAAACAGATCCTCTAGATCTAATTGATTCTAAATGTACTCCTAGAATTCCTGGCTATATGAGCTAATGAATTCCTTCCCCAACCCCCTTGTTTTGCTTAAGCTAATTTAAACCAGGTTTCTGTTACTTAAACACAAAAATTCCTAAATGATACTTACTTAAACCTTAAGAACTATGGAATTTTATACCTGGAGAGGACCTCAGCAATTTAGCCCAGTACCAGACTTACAGATGCAGAAACTGAGGCCTAAAGACAGAAAAATGCCTGCCTGAGGGCTTGCCACAATATAGGCAGGATCAGAATTGGAACCTGCTGCCTCTGAGAAGCTGCTCACAGAAACTTCAATTTTAAAAAATACTTTTGAAATAATTATAATTCACAGTAAGTTGTAAAAATATGTACAAAGAGTTTCATGTACTCTTCACCCAGTTTCCCCAATATGAGACAGATTTCACACCCACTAGGATGGCTGTTATTTAAAAACAACACCACCACCAAAAGAAACAGTAAATAACAAATGTTAGCAAAGATGCAGAGAAACTGAAATGCTTCTGCATTGCCAGTAGAAATGTAAAATGGTACAGTTGCTGTGGAAAACAGTATGATGGCTCCTCAAAAATTTAAACATAGAATTACCATATGATCCATCAATGCAACTTCCGAGTATATACCTGAAGGAAATGAAAATAGGTATTCAAGCTAATACATGTACATGCATGTTCATAGCAGCACTAGTCACCAGTAGCCAAAACATGGAAGCAATCCAAGTGTCCAGCGGCAGATGAATGGATAAACAAAATGTGGTATACACATACAGTGGAATATTATTCAGCCTTAAAAAGAAGGAAATTCTGACACATGCTACTATATGGCTGAACTGTGGAGACATTGTGGTAAGTGAAATAAGCCAGTCACAAAAGGACAAATATATGATTCCACTTATATGCAGTACCTAGAATGGTCAAATTCATAGAAACAGAAAGTAGAATGGTAGTTGCCATGGACTGGGAATAGGGGAAAATAAGGAGTTACTGATTAATGAGTGTAGTAGGGTTTTTAGTTTGGGATGATGAAAAAGTTCTGGAGATGGAGCGTGGTGATGGTTACACAATACTATGAATGGACTTGATGTCACTGGATTGTACTCTTAAAAAAATGGTTAAATGGTAAATTTTACGTCATGAATATTTTACAATTTAAAAAATGTTTGCATCTTTTTATCTTTGACATCAGTCATCTGGGCATTTAAGATATTAGCTACAAGATTATTTTAAGATTAAAAAGGGAAAAATCTCTCTCCAGAAACTATCTCAGTGTAATATTTTTAAAGTAATGGACTGGAAAAATCTAAATGCCTAATAATAAAGAAATAGTTTAATAAAATACAGGATATTACATATCCTATAAGTATGATATTTACAAAGGTAGAAATAGCATGAACAAATAATTCAAACAGTTCATGAACAAACTAAATTTAGAAGGAAAAATGCACATACAATTTAATTATGCCAAGATACAGTATGCAGGCATATGAAACTGGAAAGGAGTAAACTGTTGACTGAAATGATGAAATCATAGGGAGATTTCATTTTTTTCTTTTGATGCAATGATCATATATTTTCAAAAAACAAAAATTTACAGTAAGTATGAGCAAAAAGAACAAAGAGCTTTGTCTTTTGGAAGCTAAACATGAAAATGTTATCTCCACTTTTCTAAAAAGTTGCCTAGTCTTATTTTGCTGGCACAAAAATCTAAAATTTGAAAAAGCATAGAATGCTTAGAAGTTTAGAAGGCTTTTGTTTCATTAACTCTTAACATTCTAGGCCAAATCCTACTTTTTATATCTTACTTTGATCCAGAAAGGGTTTAATGCAGCTTACAAAGGAAGATAAAATATAACACAAATTAAAAGTCAGAAAATGTATTAAAAAGAATGAGGCAGAAAACAGAGATAGATATAGAGACAGAAAAGGAAAGATCTCCAAAATAAATTGGCAAGTGAAAAAAACAAAAACAAATGAAAACAAAGATACTCAACAGTATACTATCAACTTTGTTTAAAAAGGAAGAAAAAGGGGAGTGGGTATAGCTCAGGGGTAGAACATATGCTTAGCACGCACAAGGTCCTGGGTTCAATCCCCAGTACATCCATTAAAATGAATAAATAAATAAACCTAATTACCACCCCCAAAGAGATTAACACAACATTGTAAACCAACTATACTTCAATTAAAAAAAAAAGAGGACACTCATTTTAAAAAAAGGAAGAAAAAGAAGTTCATATGTTCCTACCTATTTGTATTTACACAAACTACCCTGGAAATACAAAAAGAGGAGACCACCACTAACAATCTAATTGTTTTCACATGGGAGAAACAAAGACAGGAGCAAAACAGAGCTAAAAAGAGGATAAAAACTTGTACAGAATCACTGATAAGGTATGTAAACTTTAAGAGCAAGTATAAAATTTACTTTAAGCCTCCAGCAGCCAACACAAAAAGGAAGAACTTGTGAGTTAACATATGCAATGTTCATAAGAAAAAAGAATCCAATTGCTCATGAAATTAATTACTATTCTTAGTACTAAGAATAGAGATGAATTTCTCTTTCTGGGTCTTCATAAAAGAACACTGGGTGATGTGGTAAACGCTGTCCCTACAAACAGCCACAAGAAGCAGCAACCATTATTTCCCCAGGGTAAGGTCACTGTCGTATGACAATGTTAAACACTAGAACTTTGCACTGTTTTTTTGTTTTAAGCTGATTAAAAGCCTTACCTTGGTTCCATCTGGTGTTGCTGAGGAGGCTGGAGAGAAGGCAGGGTTTCCGACGGGAGATTCGGGAACAAATGAAGCTTGATCGAGGGCTGAAGTAGATGTAGGGGATGTTGAAGTCTCAGGGGGAGGTGGGTTCTCTTGCATATGGGGTAGGACATGATCTAACACCCATCCAGAGTAAGAAGACAGCTTAGGAAGAGACATACATTCTTCTAAAACATCCTAGAGGGAAGAAGAGGGTTAAGCCCAACTTGCATATCAACTGATCTAAGCAATCAAAAATAATTTTGTCCTTTTAATTCACTACATGCTCTACTGAAAGTCTAACAAAGCCTAATAAATGTATACATACCAAAGACCCAAAGTAACTGTATCAACAATCAGAGATGCATCGAAAGTACAGTAGTTTCTTGATAATGACCTCGACTACTATCCTTTCAGAGCATCAGACTAAATAACCCTAACAACAGAAAAAAGGAACAATGCATAAAGACTGTCATTAAAGCAGATTTGAAAGCAATCTAAATAAAACATTGGAACAGAAAAGAACACAAGAGGAATTTTGAAGTAAACTGTGGTATACACACTCAGTGGAATATTAATCATTTAAAAAGACCAACTGTGAACCCTAGGTAAGATTCAATTATTTCAGTTTCATTGAAAAATAATTGACATATATCACTGTAAAAGTTCAAGGCGTATAGCATGATGGCTTGATGTATATACTGAGAAATGATTACAACAGGTTCAGCTAACAACATCCATCTCTCATATAAGGAAAAGAAAAAAAAGGAAAAAAAATTCTTGAGATGAAAACTCTCAGCATTTACCCTAACCTTCTTATAGACGGTACAGCTGTGTTAGCTATAGTCCTCATGTTGTTTATTACATCCCTAGTACTTACTTACAACTGGAAGTTTGTATCTTTTGATTATCTTCCAGTTCCTCTTCCCCCAAGATTCAATTTTAAGTGAAAAAAATAGGAATATAAATAAATATGTCTACAATGATATAAATACAAATAAATACCCTAACAAACTTGAAAGAAATATACCAGAAGTTATGCTTGGGTGATGAGTGACATCTTTCTCTTGGTTCTAATTTTCTGTATTTAATTTTTAAAGGAACACATTATACTTTTTTTTTAATTGAAGTATAGTCGATTTACAATGTGTTAGTTTCTAGTGTACAGTATAGTGATTTGATTATACACATACATATTCTTTTTCATTACAGATTACAAGCTATTGGATATAGTTCCCTGTGCTATGAGTAGGATCTTATTTTTCACCTATTCTGTATATAGTAGTTTCTATCTGCTAATCTCAAACTCCCAATTTATCCCTCCCCTCCTTCCCCTTTGTTAACCATAAGTTTGTGTTCTATGTCTGTGACATGTTATACTTTTTTAAATGAAAATAAGGCATATAAAAAATAGGCACAGAAGAGTGTCTACTGATGTAAAAGCCGTTGGCTTAAATAAAACGGGATTTACAATACAAAGACCATAAAAAGTCCCAGACATTTTTCAATATGTGTGTGAACAACTATTACCTCTATATGTTTGGTATACAGTGCTTTAAACCAAAGAGATGTATTACTTCTAAAATGGAATAAGAGGACTCATCTCAAAAGGTTTGGGGAGAATGAAATGAGTAACAGGTATAAAAGATTCAGAACAGTACCTGGCACACAATCAGTACCTCCAAATGGCAAGCTATTACGTTATCTAGACCAGTGGTTCTCCAGCAGGGATGCTGCTAAACATCCTACAATGCACAGGACAGCCACAGCAGCCCCTACAACCAAGGATTATCTGGCCCAAAATGTCAGTAAGGCTGTGGCTAAGAAATACTGACCTAGCTAAATTGAAAAAAAAAAAAAAGGAAAATACTGAGCTAGACCACAGGTACACCTCCTACGTACAATAAACAGATATTCAACCCATGGGAAACCTGGACATAGAAGCAAACAGGCTGTATGCACACTTTATACAGTGACAATTAAAGATATATTAGAAATAATGTTGAGACAACAACTCTTTACTCATTTTTTACACCCAAATAAATTCCAGGAGCAAAGTTTCAAATGTAAAAAAATAAAACTATACATACAAAAAAGGCCATAAATAGAGATAAAAATTTCAACTGACAAAGTGAAAAAAATGCAGTATCTATCACTGATAAAGGAACAGTATTATCCTTAATACATATAGAACTTGTAAAATTCGAAGGGAAAATGCCAAAACCCCAACAGAAAAATGAGTAAAAGAGATAAACTAGCAAATAGAAATATAAAATTGGATCTTGAATATACAGAAAATGTTCAATCTCAATCAAAACAGAAATATACTATAAAACTACACCAACATCTCATTCTTACCTACTAGGTAAGCAAAAATTGAAAGTATAATAAAACAGTCTGTTGATAGGGCTGTGGACAAACAGGCATGATCATGTACTGCTGATTGGAAGCCAAATCAACACATCCACTATGGAGAGAATTCGGCAACATACAACAAAACTACATTTATGTTTATCTTTTAACCCAGCAATCTCACTTCTGGAAGTTTATCCTGAAGATACACTTCTCACAGAATGAAAACACACACACACAAGTTACAAGTAATGGAATACAACTCACTAAATAAAACAGGAATCCATGAGGATACTGATATAAATAAACAGGGGAGAAAAGAAAGCTCTTCCTTAACAGTAAAATGTCAGCTAACAAATGTAGGAATGGTAGATATAAAGAAACACCATTTGGCTACATCACAGAGGTGACTGATTAAAGAGAAATCATCCATAAATGCCAAGGATGGAGGTGATGAGAAAAAAAAATATTGGTGTAACCTTGGAATGCTTCCCCACAAAATATTTATCAATTACAAGGGGGAAAATTATGCATTTTAAGTGGAAATATCTGATAGAGACCAATGTGACCAGGTGATCAAGGTTAACATCACCGGTATTGGGATAGGTTGAAGCATCTGTATTTACTGATGACTCACTGTATTTACTGAGAACACAGATCATTTCTGTGGCATTCCTGCCAAGAATGTACACTCAGAGTCTACACCAGACTCATACTGGGATTCATCCTACAGACTGTAAGATATGTATTCTTTAAAACTGTCAAAGACGTAAAGACAGGAAAATGCTTTAGAAGTATTTCACAGTTAAGCCTGAAGAGACAGGATTGGGGTGGGTACAGCTCAGTGGTAGAGTGCGCGCTTAGCATTCAGGAGGTCTGGGTTCAATCTCCAGTACCTCCGTTAAAATAATAAATCTAATTACCTACCCCCCCAAATAAACCCCAAAATTAAAAAAAATAGAGAGAGAGACACGACAACATCGTATCTGTAGCTAAATTATCAGCAATCTGGAAATATTCCCCCACCTCCGCGATCTAGTACAGGGCTTTGCAAAACCTGGATGCAGTGACCAGGGCCCCATCAAACTTTCCAGGTCCGCCTCATGTCATCTAAAAATCTAGTCTTTCCACTGGCAGCAACAGGTCAGGTCATGCTAACGGTTCACCGCTAAATCTGAATCTCCCAACACAAGGGACACGCAGTAAATTAATTGAACCTGAGAAGCGGGTTGCTTTGACAACATAGGCAGAGGCGCTTAACTCTGGCTGCTAGTAGCAGTGAAGCCTTCTGAGAAGAGCACCTCCGAAGGGGAGCTCCCCGAAAGACGAGAATAGGCAGGAGAGGGCAGAAACCCTAGGACAGGAGGATGCACACACAGGAGTCAAGAAGCAAACGCCACGTTACAAAGAACGCACGGGTTCCCTGGGCAGATCGTGCCAAGGGCTAGGGAAGAGCAGGGTCCCGTGACGAGGGGCCGGAGGGACCACCGCCCTCTCTGGGGCCACCGCTCACCTCGCCCCGCAGCAACCAGTCGCGGTGGTAGCAGAGGCGACCTTTGTCGGAACTGCGCAGCGCCTGCAGGGTCTCCCAGCAGCGACCCTCGGACGGCATGGCCCCCCGCGTCACAGCTCTTCTAAGGCGCTGCCGGCGACAAAACAAGTCCTCGAATCAGCCGCCCGGAAACGGGGGCTCGCTTCCGCTTCCGGGGCGCGCACGCAGTAACCCAAAGCAACCCCGCCCCTAACGGCTTCCTGGCCCCCGCCTCGGCGCCGAGCCCGCCACCAGCACGCCTGCGCACAGAATTTTGCTCCTGAGGCTCGATCCCCTACAGGGAACTCAAAGCTGGGGTCTTCTAAAGACTGGACCAGCCCGGTTGCAGGAAACTGAATAGGTATTGATGAGGATGTCGAGATATTGGAACCCTCATACGCTGCTGGTGGAAGTCTAAAATGGGGCAACTCCGGTAGAAGACAGTCTGGCAGTTGGTCAAAACATTAGAGTTGCCATTGACCCAGCAATTCTTCTAGGTGTCTGCGCAAAAGGAAACAAATGTGTCCGCAAAAAAACTTGTAGAATATTGGTAGCGGCATTTCTCATAATAGCCAAAAATGTAAACCCAAGTGCCTATCAGCTGATGAGTCAATAAAATATGGTGTATCCACACAACAGAATATTACTGGGCCATAATAATGAAGTAGAAATAGATGCTACGACATGCACCTTGAAAACATTAAGGAAGCCAGTCACAATGTTATATGATTTCATTTATGTGAAATGTCCAGTGACAAAGCTGGAGATAAGAGACTTTATTAGTGGTTGCAGGGGCTGGTGGGAGGGGAAATTAGGGCTACTAATGGATATGTTTCATTTGGGGGTGATGAAAATGTTCAAGAATTAGATAATGGTGGCTGGTGCACAACTTTGACTATACTGAAAAGAACACTGAATTACACAGTTTAAAAGGGTAAATTTTATGGTATGTGAATTATACCTCAATAAATCGAAGATTCACCATTGCCCGGGATCAGCTTTAACTAGGACCCTTTAACTTTCTACCCTTTTTTGCCTATTTCATGAGATCTCAGTTTGAAGCCAAAGGAAAACTCTGGAGTTTGAATCAGTATAAACATTTTTCATTTTTCACAAACTCTCTGGACTTTTTGTAATACAATATTTTACAAAGAAAAATAGAATGTTGTTAGAAGAATCCAAGCAATGGACCCGGAGAGGTGTTTCCTATACCAGCATTATAAATAGCAGTGCTCTGCATTGAGGAGGTATTTGTTAGACAGAAGTAAGAGTAATGAGTTATATAGCAAAGTATGCACATTGGTGTAAGTTTGCCAACTGTCTTTCTTAGGAAGATCTTTCATACACTGTATGGAAGTTCAAGTTCATTTACTTTAAGGGTGTGAAAACAGGCTTGGTTTTGTGGCAATGGTAGCTGGTAGTAGTTGTTATTTCAGTGACCTTCCCTGGCCAAATTGAAAGCTGGAAACTACAAGTGTCTCCACAATTGGGGCAGGGGGAGGGCGGTTCTGGTAGTGAAATCCAGGTGCCTGGGTGAGGACCCACTGCTTTTGAGGACTCAGGAGAATTCGCTAGAGTTCTGAACTTGGGTTAGAGTGGCCAAGGGAAGACTGGATTGGATGGCCACCCAGAAGGCCAATACCAACTAGAATGAAAAGGTTGGGGTTCAGCACAGTACCAAATTTGTTCTCTTCTCTCTGAAGAATTTGTTGTTCTTTCTTTTAAATACAGGAAAATGTGAAGAGAACAAAAATAGCTCATAATCTTATCATTTAGAAGCCAATTAACATTTAAAAAATAATAATACATACACATCCCATCTTCCTCCTAACAGCTAATGTAGTCGGCCCTCAAACACTGAGCAGTGCCTTACAGTGTCTCCTCCAGGCCCTTCATGGGATTATAAGTGAAAGCACACAAGGGAGAAAGAGCCAACTGGGCCAAAATAAAATGAAAAGTCTTATGTTCCATGCACCAAATCCTTTAAAAATGTTTACTGGCTCTCCTGCAGCACTTTAATGAATCATTCTTAGAAGAGGGGTGGTGGTGGGTAAAGAAGTCATCCAATGGAGCCTTAAATAAGATTATAAAAGCTTTTTGTAAAACAACACACATTTTCCAAGAATAAATGCATTCCATAGATAGAAACCTGGCAAAGAGAAACAAAAATAAATGAGATTGGCAATCAACTTTTACGAGGGCAAGTGGACATAAGCCCTCAAGTGTCTACTGTGAAGTGTAGAGCCCAAGTGGCCTCAAGGACACTTGGCCATGAGAGGTTTCCACTGGGCTTGGGAGGGGAGCACCTTGGGGAAGACACCGTACCTGTGAAATAAGGAAAACAGCAAGTGAATGTGCTCGGGAGGTGCGGTGACGGCCTCTGGCTAACAGCTCCTGCTCATTCAGGTCAGAGAAAACCCAAGAGAGGGTCCTCAAAAGAGGGGCGCTGTAAGGGGACTGGAGAGAAAGTCCAATCCGAACATTCTCTCGGGAGGAATGAGCAAAGTCATGGTGAGTTAAATTCTGATCCTAATGGTAGTAGATTTAAGGCCTGTCAGGGTAATTAAAAAACTTCCATCAGGCGACTCTGTCAGAGAGGAGAGAATTAAGTAGGTCCTGCTTCATCCCCCGCTACTTTCGGCACTTTTCTGGAGCTAGTAGCTAAGACAAGATCCCGAACATACTTCATCACTGGAAGAGAGAGGAAAACCAACAGGCTTTCCAGGTATGGCTTAGCAATGCCCCAGTTCCCACGGCATCCATCTGAGCTCCTAGCCCAAGAATGGTGGCCTTAGGCAGGAGGAGATCGGGAGCGGATGGGAGAGCTGGTCAGGTAGGTAGTGTAGGCACCGTCCCCAAACACATTGGCATAGGATGACTTGAGGAACTGGACGTAGTTCTGCATGCTGCGATTGGTGCTCTCCGACTGCTCCAGGCGGTCTTTCAGGTCTTGCAGCCGGCTCTGGTAGCGGCGGTCAGCCTAGGGGGAGGAACAGAGCCAGGGCCGAGTGTGTGTAATGTCCAGTACAGACAAACGCATAGCAACAGAGACTTTACGAGTGGTTGCCAGGGGTTCAGGGCAGGGCAATGGGAGTGACTGCTAACAGGTAATTTTCTTTCTGAAAATATTCTAAACCTAGATTGTCATAACTGCACAACTCTGAATATATTAAAAACCACTGTTATTGTACAATTTAAATGAGTGAATTTTATGGTACATGCTGTCTTAAAAGCTGTGAATAAACAAGGGGGATCGGCCTGGGATAGTCTGAAGGGGCGGGAAAGTGATGAGAGAAAAATAAAACTATGTCATATTCATAAAAACAAAACACCTTGCCCGGCAGGCCCCAGGAAGCTAAAATCTCCACCCACTCCCTTCTTGTCTGCTTCCCTATCCCCAGCCCGACTCACATCATCCCGGCTCCGCCGAAGCTGGCTGAGTTCAGTTTTGGTCCTGCTCAGCTGGGTCTCAAGGTCCAGGATTTTGTTCTGGGCTGCTCGCTCCTTGGAGGCTGCATTCTCCTTGGTTTGTTCCACCTGCCCAAAAGGGACAGAGGTGGGGCTGGCTTACCCAACAAGGGGAACGCCCGGTAAAGAGCAGGCTGGGCTGCTCCCACTAACTGGTCTTGCAGATGACACTTGCATGTCGCCGTGGAAAGTTCTCTGGAGCCTCAGGGTGGGAGCTAACCATGGGGACAACTTGTACAATGCAGCTTTATCTGCCCTTTGCCAATGCTCCATGAGTCATCACCTAGGATGTGGTAAACCTGTCTGAGGCCCACGCAGGCAGTAATTAAAAGAACAATTGTAATTCTTTGTAATAATTGCTTATTTAATCCTTATGATTCATGAGGCAGGTACTACTATGATGTACCCATTTTTCAGATGGGAAGATAGGCTCAGAGAGGCTGGGCAATTTGCCCAAAGATATAAAGCTAGTTAGTAATAAATTCAAAACTGACCTGCCGCTTGGCATCTTCAATGGCGCTCTCCAGCTGCCTCGCCAGGGACCCACATTCCCGTGTTTTCTCCTCCAGTCGCAGCTGGGACTGGTGGATTGCCTCCTCCCTCTTGGCAATCACCTGTAGGAACTCGATATTCTGGGCACTGGTCGCCTCCAGTTTCCTAGGTGAAAGCATTCAATTAGATCCTGCTCATCCCCCTACCTGTCCTGTTCCACACGGTCAGGGAGCTGCCAGGCACCCCAGACAGGGGTTCTCATCACACCAAGGAGCTCTCCAAGGAAAAACAGGAATAAACCAAAGAAATCTGCTGATCAGCAAGGCAGCAAGGAAATGTCAGCAGGAGCAGGTGGTCAGAGAACTGTATGAGGAGTGGGAGAAGCGAGCACCGTGTGCACTGTGCTAAATGCGCATGTCATCACATGTAATACGGCAACCTGCAGCTCAGGAAGGTGGGCTCCATCATTCTCCCCACTTCACAGGTGAAGAAACCGAGCCACAGAGAGGTGAAGCCATTGGCTCAAGGTCAGCACAACTGGCAGGTCTGTCACCACAACTCATGCCCACACAGCTTCTTCTGTCCACTGCTGCCTCCCTCAGCAGAGACTTCAGCTGGACCACTCAACATCACCATGGGGCAGCAGCGACCATTCTGTGTGCACATGTGGTCCCCCACTGCAATTCCAGAACACCTTCCAATTAAAGGAGCTCTGCAAGTCCTGCTGAATCCAGCTGCATCTTCAAGGCCAGCAGAGCAGAGGTGGAGCCCAGGGGAGACCACCTGCTTCAAGCCCCTGCCAGCAGGTTGCATGAGCCACCTGGGCCAATTGCAGCCTCCCGTCTCTGAAACTAAGGCTCCAGCCCAAAATATACAGATGCTAAAAGCTCTGGAGGAAGAAAGTCTAAATCAAAGCTTTGCCAAGTACCAGCTGTGTGACCTTGGGCAAGTCACTTAACCTCCCCCCAAGTTCAGTTTCCTCATATCTAAAATTGGGATAACACCAACTCATATATACTAACCTATAATGCACATTTTTGTACTGCCAGGCAATGTGCGTAAACCCTTTGAGGATTATCTCACTGAAGACTCACAATAACCCCATGAGCTGGATTGTTACCCCTACCTTGATCCCTTTCTCAAGATGAGGAAACAGGTTCGAAAGGGTGAAATGATTTGCTCAAGGTCACAATGTAGGTTACATGGCCAACTTGGGACCCAAGGCCAGGGCTTTGGATTCCAAAAGGTGTACTCTTCATCTGACTGCCTCCAACAGTCTCCGTAAGTAACAGATAAGAGATCAGAAAGGTCTTGGGATGATCGGGAACAAAGAGCAGAATTGGGGGAACGCTCCCCATTGCAGCATCCTAGCTCTGCTGGTTTGCTTGGATGAAGTGTGCCTTTCTGATAGGTGGTGCCCATGAGTGGTCTGACCTCGATCACACTGTTACAGAGCATCCAACGCTGGCCAGAGACCACCTTCCTCTCTCCCACAATGCTTACCACTGCAACGGAAGCAGCTTTTCCTCTGAGGTCTGCCTAGTACCTTCCAGGGCCTTGAGTCCCTCAAACACTTCGGCACACTAAGCTCAAAGCAGCTAAGTGGCTGAAAGACTCAGGTCCTAGGAAGAGGACAGAGATGCTACCAAGTGCCTCTAACCTCTCCAGTTCATCCACCTTCAGACTCAGCTGTTTATTTTCCTTCTGGGAGGCTTGATGTTTCTCTCTCGCCATCTCCAGCTTGTCCCCCTGATGTTCGATCTAAAATGACAGGAACACAGACTGGTTTATGAAGAACTTCCCAGTACAGCCCTCCCTTCACCCTAGGACCTGTCATCCACACCCAGGAGAGAGGCACACTGCCCTCAGCAGGCATCCAAGTCTCAACGCACAACCTGGAGGAGAGAGGAGAGCAGGGACAGGTTAGGCCCAGCCCCCAGGACTGATGGCTTCCCCACAGCGAGAGAGGCCAGCTTCGATCCTGAAGAGCCACAGTGACTCTCTTGAACAGGAGAGGTCACTCAGTGGGATCCGGGCAGACATGAGAAGGCAGAAGCAGACGGCAGGCCTAGCTGGCCCATGAGACACACCACGGAGCTTTACCAAGGATGTTGGTGGGACTGCCGATTTCATTCATCTTAACTGGGGATGAGTGCAGGCAAGGCCACAGGAAATCTATTGAGTCTTTCAGGCTGGCAAGTTTGAGAAGTTATCCAGGTTGCTTTCTGCAGAAGCCTCAGATATCTGGGCCTGAAAGGCCCTGAGAATGCTTAGGTTCAAGAGAGGGCATGTGATTTCAGAGTACGGAGAACATGGGCTCAGGAACCAGACAGAGCTGGCTGGGTTCCAGGCCCTGTTTACAAACATTAGCTCTGTGACCTCAGGAAATTACTCCCCGCCCTCTCTGCCCTGGGCTGCTTTCTGTAAAATGGGGAGAATGAGACCCCTCACAAAGTTCCTGGGAGAACTGAGAGAATGCTAGAGCACAGAACATGTGCTCAAAAAAGGTAACTACTTGTATTGTTACTACAGGGAAGCAGGTCAAGAGAGGGGAAGGGTCTTGCCCAAGGTCACAGTGCAAATGAGAGGCATGTAATTTCTTAGACACCGTGGGCTTGGTGCCAGTAACCCAGAGGCAGATGGCTTCTGGGAGAAAGGAAGCCCTTTTTCAGGACAGAAGCTCAGGCAACAGATCAGTTAAGACTAGGGAAAGGCAGCTAAAACAAGAAAAAGATGGAAAAAGAAAGCGTATGGCTTGGTGTCTGCTGGCGTCTCCCGTCTGTGGCTGCAGGGCAGAGGACAGCAGCGGAGCGTGAAGGGCAGAGGCCGGCGGAGACATGGAGCTCTCGGGGAGGGGCGAGGTCAGGAGGGCCCGGGAGCTACAAGCGAGTGGCGGCTCCTATGACTACAATCACTTTGTGCAAACACAAGGCATTTGGCACACCAGACTTTTATTTCACAGCACTGATGATAGCTCACTCCTTTCAGAAAGCGGCAGCCAAGGAAAAGGAAGTGGTCCTCCCTTGGGGGGGCGTGCAGCTCATCTTGGTAAGCGGGCCCCTGCTCGGGCCAGTTCGTGGGACCCTTTCTGCCAGTCCCTTACCCGGCTGCGCAGGTCTGATATGATGGCTGTGAGGTCAATGTTCTTTCTCTCATAGCCCTGCAGCTGGTCTTGGCACTCTGCCAACTTAGCCTCCGTGATCTTGAGGATGTCAGGCAGCTGCTGCAGGTCAGCCAGCTGGGACTGGAACTGCCTCCGTGCCTGGGGTGGGAGAGAGGAGTCCACAGCTGGGACAGGCCTGGCTGCTGGAGGGCCAGGCAGAGTCCTTTGGAGTTAGGGCAGGGCTATGCTGGGTCCCCAGAAGACAATCAAACAAGATCCTCGGGCAGAAGTGTGGCCTCCCTGCAGGCCACTGAGGGTGTCTAGCTGTTCTCTTGGGGATGCACTTGGCCCTGACTTGCCACTTGAGCCTGCTGCTCCTTTAGTCATTGAATAACAGTGGCAACCACATAGCAAACAGCAGGACCCAAGCATTGTGCTATGGGCTCTCTGAATAACTCACTGAATTCATGTAACAACCTATAAAATAGGTGCTGTTGTCCCCATATAAGGACACTAAGGATCAAAGGATCATGGGCCCAAGGTCCCTCAGCTAGAAACTGCTAGAGCCAGGATTCAAGTCTAGTCTAACTCCAGAGCCCATTGGAAGGCCATCACAATGCTCGAGGTCAGAGGAAAAGCAATCAGCTATCTGGTCTTAGTCCTTCCTCGTATTAACAAGGAGCCTGAGGACTAGAGTGGGGCAGTGAGTTGCCCAAGGCTGTGCAACAGGTTAATGAGTGAGCCTGGACTCAGTCCATCTCCAAGGTCACTATTAAGAGGATCCCTTTGCTTCTAGTGAGCAAAGCCATCTCTAGAAGAATAAGGCTCTTGGGGAAGGGGACAGGAGGCATATTTTTTGGCTGGCACAAAATAAAGACACCACATAGAATGAAATAGGCACACCTCAGATCTGACAGATCTGTGGATCTGAATCCATTTGGATGCTCCAAGCAGGGGAGAGTGTTTTTTTTTTAAAAAAGGAAAATGAAGAAGGGAGGAAACCAGGAGGAGAAAGAGAAAGAGGAAGCACGAGAGAGAGAAGAGATGCAATAAGGAAGGAGAGGGTGCATATACAGTAGAGTGGATGGGCCCAGCGGTAAGAAAATTCATGAATCTTTGTTGTCCACATCACAGAGGGTCCATGACAAACAAGAGGGACAGAATGACAGACACAGAACTGGGCAGGGAAAGGAGACGAGGCAGGGGGGCAGTACCGCTTCAATCTCTTTGTTCATCTCATCTTTAAGGATCTTGTTCTCTTTGTCACAGCGCTCCAGCTGGGCAGCCACTTCATCAGCCTCCAATCTGGTCTTCATCACCTAGGGACCAACAAAGCATCGGGCCATCTTGGGCAGAGCCAAGTTTTGGAGAAAAACATCTTCCTCACCTAACCCTTCCCGGGGGAGGGGGGGACTGTGGTTAATCTCCCAGCCCACAGGGAGGCGCTGCCCTGGCAGGGCCATGGCACCTGAGAGGCCTACCTGACTCTTATAGTTGTCAATCATCCCCTCATAGTTCTTAACCGATGCCTTCAGCTGCTGAACTTCGATGTGCGCCTGGTTGAGTTTGTCCTCCATGGGGGTGAAGCTAGCCTGGAAGGGGCAGCTCATGGGTAACCAGCAGGAAGGGTCTGGAGCAGGTGGCCACCCCAACTCCAGCTCCTACTCCAAGGGGCCAGCAAAGGGAAGCCCCACCTACTCAAACCCACGCCAGCAGTTTTCCTCAGAGAGGCACCAAGGCAAGACTCCTGATGTTACCAACCCAAGTGAATGTAGATGCACATAAGAGATTCCTGTGGGGTTTTGTTCTTATTACAAAAGCAATATCTAATCGTTAAAGAAAATGGAGATAAAGCCAAGAAAAATGAATCCTGATGCATGATGCCCTAGTATACGCCTCTCCGTGGATAGCTGTGTAGGCAGTTTTTCCAACAGGAATGGGATTATATTGTACTTACTGCTTTGCAATGTACTTTTTCAATTAACAAGTATGTTGTGAACTACTTCTCCCATCACTAAATGTTCTCCTCCAACCCAAATGCTCACTTTAGCAGATGGGACAAAATAAATCATGGTACCTCAATAAAATAGAACACAATGACTTAACAGAAAGAGATATAGCCAAAAAAGAAAAATAGACCTAAAAAGATATACATGAAATGTGGCTGAATGAAAAAAGCTAGCTGTGGAATAATGGATGGATGCATGGATGTGCATATGTTTGAACATATATGTTGATATCAGGGGAAGAAACTGGAAAAATACGCACCTAAGGTTAATAGAAACCTTCACTTCTGTTTACATTTCTGTAACGTTTTCAACTTTTACTATAAGCATGTTTTACCTTTATAATATCTAGGAAAATACACTTCCACAAACATCATTTTCAATAACCACAATGTATTTCACCACACAGATATTCCATACTGCAGCCAATCCCCCAGCTAACTGTCAGAGGCGGGGACTGTCTTTCATTTATCCAACAACTGGACTACGACAAATGAGACACTACCACGCTCCCGCCAGAGTGGCTAAAATTAAAAAGACGGACAATACCAAGTGTTGGTAAGGAGATATGGAGCAGATCTCTCACATAGCCCTGGATGGAAGTGGAAATCTGTACAACTACTTTACTGTTTGGTGACACCTGCCAAAGCTGAATTTATGTATACCACCCGGTGACCTGGCATTTCTACTTCAAGATATAGAACTTGTAAAAAAATACACCAGATACGTGTGCACCAAAAGAGGTACAAAGATGTTCTACAACCCAAATGTCCATCAACAGTAAGATGGATAAACACTTTGGGGTATATTCATACAGTTTGTAATGATAAACTGCCACACACGACATGGATAACTTTCATAAACATAATATGGAGTAAAACCATAAAAGCCAGGCACAAAGTTCAAAACCAAGCAAACTAATCTGTGGCGTCAGAAGTCAGGATAATGGTCCCCTTGGTGGGGGAGCATTTGCAACTAGGCGAGGTCATGGGGCTACTGAGGTTTAATCAGGGTGATTGATGGACAAAGCATGTTCATTTGTGAACATTTCTGTGGTACACTTCCTTAAAATCAATCTTACTTAAACAAACTAAAATCAATTTAAAAACAACAACAACAACAAACCTAGATGTTACTACCCAGATCAGTTAAAAACCAAGATCAACCCTGGCTCTGTTATGTCAACCTCTGTTTGGGGGCCTCATGCCCCTGGCATGTTGGGAGGGTGCGAAGCAAGTGGTTAAGAGCTAGTGATTACAGCCCCAGTGTCGGACTCAGGCTCAAATCCCAACTCCCAAGGGCCAAATCTTGGCAAGCAACTTCACTTCCCTCCAAGTCTCAGTGTCCTTATTCTATAAAGTAGAGATGATAATTGCATTATTGGGAGACTAAAGTGAGAATTAATGAATGTAATAGAAGGGGCCTAGGATGCCCCAGGAGAGTCAATGTTAAACTCAAAGTCAGGCCTATCTCATGTGCACAGGCTGAGTGTCACGTGAAGCATTTCACATGCATTATTACCACATTCTTACAAGGACCTCATTTCCTCCCACTAAGGAAACGGCAGCAACAAAGGAGGAGACACCTTGTTCAGGCCCTGCAGCTTTAAGAAGCAGAGTCAGGACTTGAATCTGGGTCTTTTTAACTCCAGAGCACCCCTTCATAATCACGTTGTTGCTGTCAGGCCCTCTGAAGAACTTGTGGTCATTTCTGGGGCCCAGGCCAGAGTGCCCAGCTGTCAACCTCACTGCTCCACCCAACCGCCCGGTCCTGGCCCTCACGACAGACCTTCAGCCTCTCATTCTCCAGTTTAAATGCAGAATACTCGGCAGTCTGCCGGTGTAGTCTCTCCACCAGGCTGTCCCGGTCTTCCCGCATCTTCTCCTCCAAGGTTTGTTGTTGGTTTACAAGATCTGTCACCCGGCTGGAAAGTCACAAAATGAAGCAGACAGCATCACTTACACAGATCGTGGGTAGCCTGGGTCTTTGCACTGGGGCCATGGGTCCTTACCCAGGTCATGCCCCTCCTGCAGGCACCCTGCCTGCTCCCCGTCTCCACCCTGAGAAGCAGCTGTTCTGCCATGGCCACTTGGGGCATTCCCAGGTGTCCCACTTTGTCTAACAGCCTTTAAAATTTGTCTCCTGTACCACCCCTTCCAAGAAGGCTTCTCTGTTCTGATCCTCCCACGAGGCTGAGACACTCCCTGAAGACAAGGACCAGAGACGCAGTCCCTTGCCAGCTCCCCATTGCACGCCCTGGGTGTCTCAGCCCATCAGGAATTGCAGTGAGGACAGAACTCCCAGGCTCTGTGGTCAGGGATGCCCCAGGCATCCATCTCCCTCAGACACATACCACACTGGGGTTCCATCTGCCCCAAGGGAGACAAATGCCTCCCCTGCCCTCGCTCTCTTCCCCACCCTCAGGCCCTCGGCAGGTCTATAATCCAAGAACAGAGACTGCGGCCTCAGAGAAGCATTGGGGTCTTGACTGCAGATCCACCACAGGTCCTGTGCACAGTAAGTGCTCTCAATATTGATAAGTTACAGTCCACCGCTCAGCATATATTTACTGAGCACTCACCAGGCCCAAGCAAATATATCATACTGTTTTGCCGGCAAACTCCTATTCACCTTAAAAAACCCAATTCAGATATCCCTCCTCAGGCCATGACTTCCTGGATCCCTCTCATCTGTACCACATATCCTTCTACCTTAATTATCCATTTTCTCCACAAGACAGAGAACCCCCTGAGGGTAGCGCCAGGTACAGGGCCCAGCATATAGCAAGTTCTCAGAATGTTTGCCAACTGAGGTGAAAACAGCAAAAGACATTCCTCAGGCAAGACTTTCCTGACCTGGAGGCTAAGTTAGCTCTTCTGCAACCTGTCCTTAGCCCAGGGAGTCCAGGTCTCTGCAGCTCTGTCTCTTCCACTAGAATTCAGGGTTAACCCCATGGATGCAGGGGAAGCATTTTTTCTTTTTACTGCTGTAACCGTCAAGGCCAACGTAGAGCCACAGGTGCTCAATAAATATGTTTAAATTTATTCAAAATGAATGAACACATGAATATAGCTGACACTGAGAATGTCCAAATGGTCACTGTTGACAGTTCACCAGTGGCAAGAAGGATGTAAGTTCAGCCACCTACAACTGGAGGCCACTTTTGCCCCCTGCTCCCAGGCCATACTTCTGACCTACTGACTGGTGGGAAAACAACTGAGAGAAGACACAGGGACCACCAGCTGCCACATCCTCTAAGAACAGGAATGGGGATCTCAGTATCCCTGTTCCCATTTCCCATGCTGGGCAGGCTGGGGCCCAGCTGAGGCCCAGATGCTAGAGTCAGGCCCAGGTGTGAGCAGAGAAGCCTGGACCCTGCACAGAGCCTGCCAGGAGGGTAGGCCCCTAGGCTGGTGGCTGGAGCCAGGACCCGGGTCTAATCAGAAAGCCCATGTCAGGGCCGCCCAAGCTCAGTCCAATGCAGCCCTGACCAGAGGAGACCAAATGGCAGCAATGTGAGTGACACCCCCTTCCCCAGTCGGCCCACACGCCCTCTTCTAACACAGACGTACTCGTTCAGGACAATAATTTCCAGCTCAAGGTCCCCCTTGTCTTTCACAACTTGGTTGTAGCGGCTCCTCCATGATTCCAGAGTAGATAAAGCTTCAGCGACATAAAGATCCTGGGAACAAGAGACAACAGGGTGCGTCAGCCTGATGCCAGCGCTGAGGCCCAGGGAGCTGGGGGCTGGGTCACCCCGGCACCCCTCGCCCTGGTAACTTAAACTGCATTCCTGCGTTCCTTTCTAGATGCACCGGGAGTGAAGTGGGAGCCCAGATGTTGCTTTTCAACTTCCAGCATCACATGCACCCGGACTGCAAACCTTTCCTTAACCATTGACCCTCCCACAATATCGATGCGGTTGGATTGTCCCCCAAGCCTTCCAACCATCTCCAGCCGGCCGCCCACCCCTGTCACTATCCTTTTACCATTTACCACCCCCACCTCTCCTCCATCCAGCCATCCGTCCTACAGCTCACTCACCCTTTCCACTGCCGTCTTTCCCTCCATTTGCCCGGCCACCTCTGCTCAGCTTTCACCTCCACCCACCCAGACCACCTATCCGCTGCCCACCTACCAACCGCCCCGCCTCCACTGCCAGCCCTCCTGCTACCTTGTCAGCAAGTTGTACGTGCAGCTGTTCCGCATATTCCTCACTCTTCTCCGCTCGTTCCTTCTGGGCTCGGATGGCCTTCTTCAACGACTCTTTGTCCCGTTCTCCCTTCTGCTTCAGTTCCTTCAGCTGCTCCATGATGGCCTCCACTTCCGCCTTGTGCTGGTTTCCACTGCGCTCCAGGTTCTGGGCGAGGACGGCCGGGGAGCAGGTGGAGGAAGGGACAAGGGTGAGGGAGAAAAGGAGGGCCAGGGGAAGGCCGAGCGGACAGGAGAGGGGAGGGGAGAGGGGAAAAGGGGGCCAGCAAAAAGAAGGAATGAGAGAGAGAGAAAACAGGTTAACTGTGTGGAGGCTTAGGGCTCCCCCAGTGCACCCAGAGCTGAGGGCCCTTCCAGGTCCCCATAGCACCTCTCTGATTACTGAACCTATAGGCTCTTAGTGTTATGACAGAACTCTTCTGGAATCCTTCCTTGAACTCCCAGCATGGTGGTCACAGATATTCCTTAGTTGCTCAACAGAGCTATGACCTCAGAAGTCCCTGGCTTACATGCTGCATCCGAGCTCCCCCCTCCCCATGGTAGTCAGGAGAACTGAAGACCTAAGGGATTAAGTGATGGGCTCAGGGGCACAGCAGCCAACTGGTCACTGCTGGGAAGGGCACCCAAGACCCCCAGGACCCACTGCCCTTTGCACTGGCCCAGAGACTCTGAGGCACGAGTGCTTTGGCAGCAGCGGCCCCATAAAGCTTTGGGGCAAAACCTGCCCTTGGACTACTAGGCCCCGCCCCCTCCCTTCCCCACCTGCGGGACCAGCAGGTACCTTGATCTGCATGCACAGGCGACTGTTCTCTGCCTCTTTGCACCGAAGCTGCGCCTGCAAATGGCCACGCATGGATTCCATGGACTTTGAAAGCTCAGATGCTGTCTTCGCTTGAGCCTTTGGAGAGATGGAGAAAGTGAGAGAGCTAGAATTTGAACCCAGCTCTCCAAAATTCCAGAGCGCATTCTTCCCACGAAACTCTATTGGCTCATAAGGAGAAGCAACTGTCAGGGATGGTACCTTCTCACATTGTATTTCCTGGAGGAGCTCTTCCACCTCCTTGTCCTTGTCTTGCAGCAGTAATAGCAGGCGCTGGAGAGAACACACACCGCCATGAGCTCCCTGGAAGGGCGAGGAGGTCCAGGCCAGGGAGGACAAACACTCCCGTGAGTGCCTGGCCACCGGGGCTCAAGCCCCAAGTACATCGGCCCTTGTCACAGAGACCCTGGCAGGAAGCACCTAACATCTGTATCACAGCTTTTAAAAATAATTTAAAATAAAGTCATGTTAATTATGTGAAACACTGAAACACACACACATACACACACACACACACACAGAATGCTAAGAAATCCCCATAATCCTCCACGCAGAGAAAACCACTGTTAACACACGTTACAAAGTCACATACATATTTTGTTCTATAACCTATAATCCCACGTTTACCACAGTGTGATTAAATTTTCTACAGCTCTTGAAACAGCATCTTACTGTTTCAATTTGATGATGTATCATAATTTGACAAAGCTCTCAAGCTGGGAATGCGGATTTAGGCATTATCACCATGACTGCTGAATTTCCCACGGTGATGTTCGGCCAGGCACAACCTTGTCAAACCTTGGGAACCATGGTCTCTGTTTCTCTCCTCTCTCTCTCTCTCTCTCTCTCTCAGACTCAGGCATTAACACATCAAAAGCTCCAACAGGTCTGCTGAACTTGTTCAGGTTGGGCAATAGTTTCTCAAATTTATTTGGCCATAGGACAATCCCTCCTTTTGTTTCTTTCTACTTAAAAAAAATCTTTTTGTATATGTATATTTTTATTGACGTATAGTCAGTTTACAATGTTGTGTCAATTTCTGGTCCTCCTTTTGTTTCTTGCACCCATTAACATCTTAAGGAACTTCAGGTTCCATGGAACAGACTTTGGAACATGCTGCCTTGGGAGAGATTCCTGGGGAGAACTGGAATTGTTGCAGCATAAAACAAATAAGGAAATTCAGGTAAAAGACTCTGATGATATATAAATCTATCATCATCTTCACCATCCCTCAGGTTGGTGTCCAGCTTGGTGGTTCAGGCTCTCAAATGATCAGCTAGACAAGCCCAGCAGAACAGGAGGGACAGGGGACATCTGTTTCATGATTTTACAGATCATGAAACTAAGATTCAAAGAGATGTCAGAGTTCCAGGGCTCAGGCCCTCCCACCGCCACTCAGCACCTCTGTGCTGTCACCTAGAACCCCATGGAGCAGGCACGGGGCGCTGTGTGTTACCGCTTTTTCAGAGTCCGCCTCCGCCAGCCGTTTCAGTAGTGCTCCTTGTTGCTCCATCAGCTTTTCAGAATCCTTCAAGAGAAGGCAGGGAGAGCCAACTCATTAAGCAATAAACTGAGATGTGTACATCCTCTAGATCCTGTTCCTTTTCCAAAAGTTGTATTTCTAACTATAGAAGTGACAAGTGACATTATCATTATAAATTTTAAACACCAGTAAAGCTAAAGCCTCCCTTACTCCCAACCTCCAAACCCCATCCTACTGTTAGGAGTTTGGTGACTGTCCTGCCCACCCTTACTCTATGCCTGTACACACAGCTACACCTAGAGAAGGATCTTTTGTGGGATGAGGGGTGGGAAGGGATTAATGCATAATTTTACTAAAATGATATCATACTGTATTTTTGTGCTATAACTGGATTTTTCTAAACAGCTTTACTGAGATATAAATTCTGATAAAATGTACAATTCAATGTTTTTTGGTATATTACATTTTTTTAAATTGTGGTAAAATATTTATAACATAAGCCTTGCCATTTTAACCATTTATCAGTGTAAAATTCAGTGGCATATGGTACATTTGCCTATTATCCATCCCTACTATCTAGTTCCAGAATTTTTTCATCGCTGTAAAAGGAAACCCTGCACCTGTCAAGGAGTCCCAGTCTCCGTTTGCGCCTCCCTACAGCCACCCGCAACAAGTCATCCGCTTTCTGTCTCTAAAATGTCACTGCATTTTCAACCTCTCCCCATAACCTGTGGGCATTAAGGCTGTTCCCAGGTCTTGCAGCTGTAAACACTGCAGCAATGGACATTGCTGGGCATGCATTAAGTGTCTCTCTAGGGTTGATATTAAGAGGAAGAATGGCTGGACGGAAGGTTTGTGATCTGTGGCAGCTGAAATGCCCTGCAAAATGCCCGCACCGACTCACAGGGCCACAAGGAGGACATGAGCACACGGGGCAGACCAACCTCTGCCTGTTGCCAGTCTTTGCCAGAATGACTCCTGCTGTTTTAATTTGCATTTCTCTAATTACTCATATGTTTATTAGCCATTTGAGTTTCCTCTCGCCTGGATTGCCTGTCACACCCTTGCCACTTTCACACAGGGCTGTGTCTTTGTGAGCCATTTCTGTTCTTCTTCCCGGGGCCCTGGACAAAGTGTCCCTAGAAGGAGGCTCACCCCCTCCTTTCCCTTTTAATCCCACAGGTCCCCTTCATAGGCCAAGAGAAAAGGGCTCCCTGGTCCCAAAGTTTCCTAGGGACCTAGGAACTAAAAGAAGACAGCATTGTGGTTTCTCCAGCAACAAGAGGAGATGAACACAGGACAAAAGCCTAGGCCAGGGACCCAAAGTCTGAAGCTACTCTGTCTGACAGGCCATGCCCTCTGACCCTCCAGGGGACTCAGAGGTAAGTGCTTACAAATGGTAACTTGAAATTTAGAGTCATACTAAATTAATTTGGGGGCAGGGTACAGCTCAAGTGGTAATGCTTAGTGTGCATAAGGTCCTGGGTTCAATCCCCAGTACCTCCTTCAAAAATAAATAAATAAACCTAATTACCTCCCTCCCACCAAAAAAAAAAAAAAGTGAGCTGATACAAGACTGGATTTAAGTTTTCTCTCTCTCTGTTAAGAGGACAAAGTTTTCTTGAAATGTTAATCTGCTTTTGGTAACAGATTATAAAGTTTCTTTGCCTCATGGGTGATCTACGTTTGCCTTTAAAATCTTTTATTCTTATTTTGGTTTGGGAAATAAGTATTGTTTCACAGTGACCTATAATCTTATCTGACCAAATGTTTTGAAACTTTTTGACAAGCTTCCCAAATATCAAATTTTAATTGAAGTTCTTTTGACCTCCAGCTAACTTTTGGGATGCTTTAAAGGGCCCCTGAAGCATCCCAAAGAGAGTTTTAAACTAATTAGGTTCATTGAGTATGTTAATTACATGGGAAGTATTGTCAAATATATAATAAATCTTCTTAGGTCATATTGTATGGAAAAATGTTATTAATATAGACACTCTAAAAAGTTGTATGGAATTCCTAAAGACCTGGTATGTCTTGATAAAATACTATTAGTCATAATTCTAGTTATTGTCTTAAAATGTTGTATGTCACAGCAGCAACCAAGTTTCTTGTCAGTTACATTGTTAATCAGGTTTTTAACTGTGCCTTAAGTCTTTTGTCATTCATAGAGTTATGGTTTTACTCTGATGCCTTTGCAAAATGCCTCATCAAAAAAAACAAATTCATAGCAAGGATTTGTTGACACTTACAAGTTTTCTGGTAACTTTCAGACCATTACGCTGAACTGTGTAAGAAATTAAAATAAAATTCTAATGGAAAACCTGATGGTTTCATGAAACTGTTAACAGAGAATTAATTACATGCGATTAAGTAAACTAATACACGTTATAATTTTTTGGTTTTGTCTGAAATATTACTAGCTTTTAATCTGTGTTTTTCCAAGATATAAGGAAACTTTCCCCCTTAAGCTAATTATGACTTACAGCAATTTAGTACGTTATACCTTTTAAGCAAAATTGAAACATTCATCTTTTCTCTGTACCTGATCCCTCTAGAAATTAAAAACTCTTAGATTCTCAGTGGCTTTATCAGGCAAATTAGGAAGGCTACCTTCTAACAAATGCAAAAATCTCAAGGTATTTTGGGGACCCCATAAAAGGGAAAATTCACCTCAATCTGTAAGGCTAAATCTATGATAAGCCCTTGATGTGGCTTTCCTGACCCTGGGAGGCCTTTTAAAATTTCACTCTAAGGCTCCTTATGAAAAGTTCCAGTACAGCCAATTTAAAAGAGCCTATATGATCAATTAATCAGACTTAATCTGCATACAAATCAATCTTGATTGGACTATATTTGATAAAATAAAGGTAATTATAGAAATAAAAAGATTATGTTTCAATGGATATTAAATTCTAGTTTTGTTAATTGAGGCCTGTACTTACTGAGACTCACTTCCCAGATAGTCCCTTGCTGTTATGTTACACTATTGCAAAGTTTAATTGAGTTATTAAAAGGACACTCTAAGTTTGTTCCTGAAGCTTAGTAATCTATTTTTGGATAAAGATCAGATGCCCAATGGCCTACAATCATGAGATTATACACACTGGAACAGACAATTTAAGGACTCTTTCCAAGCTAGATGGTAGGACCCTTATCAGGTATTCTTGACTAGCTCATGCACAATGAAACTGAAGGAAATTGACTCTTAGATTACAAAGGGTGTCTACACTGGACTGGCCTACAGAGAGGATTGCTGACCTCGAAGTCACCTTGAAACGATGCTCGAGCAGAGGAGAAGCTCCCAGACCAGGATAAAAAGAAGACTACATCTGATGCAGACAGCTGACCCAAGACACCAGACCAGGACTGTATACCAATTACTTTGATAATTGCTCACACCTTTGCTTATGAACTAAATGTATCTCACAATTCTTATGCAAAGTTAATCCAGTTGTTAGGTTTATGGTCAATTACCTATATCCAGTACTTCTGGGTTACTTTGATGGATTTCTCCACTCCAAGGCTCTAATTAGATGGCCCTTAAAAAATTTACTCTAAAAGAAAGAAATTATAGTTCTGTTCAGGCCACTATTGATATTACTAGGTGGGATCCCCTCACCTGGCCAATTAATAATATCTGCTCTGATCCTGAATATAAATATGAATTTTCTTGTAAAGTGACTCAAGCTCAATCAGACCAATAAACACAACTTCAGCCAAAGAATATAGACTCCCACAATTATGGGATAGATTAAATAATTAAGATTATTAGATAAAGATTAAATAAATAAATAACACCAGGTTATGGTTATTTAAATTTAAAGGCTCCCTTATATTGGGAGCAATCAGACAATACTAAGGATAAGTAGGCTAATAACATTAGAAAATTGGGCTGGGCGCCTTACGGACAATGCCAGTATGTCATTTCCCTTAACGATTAAGATTGGTACAAAACAGACTAAGTCAGACGACCTGGGAATATACTGAGCTGCACCTAATGAAAGATCTCAAATTTTACTTATGGCCTTACTATACTGCTAGTTATTTTACTTGCATATTGCTTGTTTTACAAGATTGCTATTTCTCACATTATCAAATATGTGACTGAGCCTCTGATAAAATAACTAGGCAACCTGAAGCAGTTAACCAGACATACAGTTCTATATGAGATATATGATTATGCTAGTGTGACTCTAGAAATGTGAAGATATAAGAGGGACTATTTTCCTGGACCACAACAGACTAATAAGACAGGTGGCCCGGATACTTTTTGTAACTGTATAAGTAAGGCATCATCCATAACAGCACATGGAGTGGCCTATCAACAAAATCTTCGCCTGACCTGGGAACGAGCATTCCCAGTACCATGGGATGAAATGGTCATGAAATGCCTCCTAAACCATGGTCGAATTTATGATCGTGAAGGATCCTGCCAATTAAAAATCGGCACTTGCCATTTGCCTCTACAAGGGTTCAGTTGCTAACTTGCAGCACACTCTGAAAGGAATTCAAGGTGAAGAGCAGGAATGAGGCATTTGGTGCTCTGGGAATTAACTACCAGATCAGGCCTTCAGTAGTTAGATATTTTCAGGAGACGATTTTATGAGCCCAAATTCTTGCTTCTCCTTATATCTAGAAAAGCACTAAAATCATTAGTGATGACATCTGCTTTGGCCATTAAGGAGAGAAAATACATTTGAAAGTCAGAATAGAGTAAGTGTAGTTCAGACATCTAAGGTAAAACTAGGTGGCCCTTATAGATGTGAATTCAGACAAGCTTCAGTCTAGCTGAGAACATACATTTTCTGAACTGTATCCAACTCTAGGATACCTTGAGCTACTATCAAAACAGCTGCAACCTTGTGGCTGCAAGGACTCCTTAGCTCTCCTCACTGCAAACCAACCTATGCCTGCCTAAGGGAAGAACGCTGCTTCTGTTACAACCAATCAGGCCAGATACAAGGAGAGATCCGAGGTGTAAGAGCAGGCAGAAAGCATCAAAAACCAGGGTGAAGAACTCGATGGCAAATGCCCAGTGTCTTGCTTTGGCTATTGCCCTTCTTAGGCCCTGCCACAATTATCCTGTTAGCCTTGCTTTTTGGACCATTCTTAATTTAAGTGCTTTCCTGCTTTATTTCAAACGTCTCCAGCAATTTCAAAATAAGAGTATTCTGCTGCACAGGCTAGAAGCCTATCCCTGGGTCAGACTACCTAGATTTAGGCAAGAGAGAAAGAGACTTCTACTCTGGTAGGCAGGCCTACACCCCTGTACAGAAGGAAGAAGCTACAGAAGATAGAGACCTCCATCCATTTCCCCAAGAAGATTCTCAAGTATGAAGTCTCTCAGTGGGGAACTGAGAGAGGTGATCAGACAGGCTTACTGACCCTGACTGGCTTCCAACAAGGGGAAGAAAGCGCCAGGCTGATGAAAGGCAGGGCATTTTGCTCATCCCACAGCCGGCTCCTTAATTACAAGGACATAGTCCTACAACAGGATGATTTATATCCCAAAACTGCTGCATTTAATTCCAAGGATCTCTTTTTCTTTGTTCTCTTTCTCCCCTCAAAGTTTCTGTTTTAGGGCTGAGCTCCATGGGAGCAAAGAGCCAACAGTAGAAGACACTGGCACCACTGGAATGAGGATAACATTGGCAGAGCCTGCCAATAAAAGACCTCAAGGCCTGATCGGGGGCTGGAGCTGTCTCGACTGGCTACCTGGCTGATGGCTGCCCTCTGGGGTGTTTTCTTTTTCCTTCTTTCTCTGAGCAGTAAGGCAATTCTTTTTTCCACTTTGTCCCTCTCTCTCGAATTCTTTCTCAATTTCGAGCAAGGACCCACACGTTTTGAGGGGGGAGTCTTGCCCACTCATTTGGTGGGTTTTCCAATTTGGGGATCCCTCTATCCACTAACATAAGTAGTAAAGTTCATAGGAATATATTCGAGAAACTCTGAAGTATACCAGGATAATACACAGGAACGCTCAAAATAATACTGCTTGTAAGAGCCAACAACTGTAAATTGTCTCCAGCAACAGAGGAGTGGGTAGAGAAGTTGTGGTATTGTCATAAAATGGAATATAATGGTGAAAATGAAATATCTTAGGCCTCAAGGATAAAAATGGATGGATCTCATAGAAATATTGAGTGAAAAAAGCAAACTCAGAAGACTACATATGGAGCAATATCATTTATATAAAGTTTGAAAACATGCTAAACAAATCTATCCATGGTTTAGGGTTACACAGGTAAGTCAAAAACGATCAGATTCCAGATAAAGTTTCCCTCTGACAGGCAGGAGAGGTTGTCACCAAAGGAGACACAAGGGATTTAACTATGTGGGCAAGGTTTTGTTTGGAAAGTTGGATAGTGGGTACACTATTACTAATTTTAAATATTAATTTTTAAAATAAAAACAAATTGACATTTAAAAAAAAATCAAACTAAGAAAAATATTTCATAAGTACGGGCATTTTGAGACTCTAGGTTTCCCCTTGGTTTGAACCTAACAGGAAGAGAGCCGTTTATATATACTGTCAGTCTTTTCAGAATCATTTGCTAACATAAAATATATTTCAGAGATCATCTTTTAAGGAAACAAAGTGATACCATACAGTTTGTGTCCACTAGCCATTAGTCATCTTTTTACTGCACCGAAACTCAGGCCTAGTCCTCTCCTTGCTTTGCCGCAAGACCCCTGGGATGGGCTGCACCCCTCCCTGACTCCTCACTACCCTTCTCCTGACTTCCGAGGTCCTTCCTATGCCACCAGGTCAGCTTCAACAATGAAGACAGCTCCCAGCATTTTATGTGAATGATTTTGGCAATCTATAGCCACGTCAGGTCAGGTACCAGTCGTGTTTTCTTTTTACAGATGAGGAGCCTGAGGCTCAGAGAGGATGGGCCTGCGGTGCTAGAGGGCTGGGACTCCGCAGGGGCGCCCAGGGGGCCGGGCCCGCAGCTCACCTCTTTGCAGTGCTGTTCCCTCAACAGGTCTCGGAGGGTGCGGTTGGTCTCCTCAAATGTGCTCAGCTTCTGGAGGAGAAGTTCTTTCTGCCTCGTCAGGGTGTTGATGTCCGAGCAGGTCATTTGTTTCTCCTGGAAGACAGCAGGCAGTCTTACATGGCACAGGGGGAGAATGGACGAGCTGGCACAGGGAGTCTCCATGGAGAACTTAAGAGGTGCTGGTACCAGGAAGCCCAGGCCAGAAGAGCTGGGCAAAGGCAGGCTTCCTAGAGGGGGTAGACGTGGTAGGACGGGCAGGAGCTGAGCCTGCTGAAAGCACCAAGTGGGAAAAGGGCTGGAGAGCTCAGTGTGGGTGAGAATAGTTAGGGCAGGCTTCCTGGAGGAGGCACGCTTCCTGGACGATGACACTTGGTGGCTGACACTTGCAGGAATCAGACGCGTGCCTCGACTCACTGTGACCCCAGGAGACCCATGATGATGTCTCCTTAGAGGCCCTGGCCACTAAAGGTCATCCTCAAGGGTCAGGCCCTGGAAGTGAATGGGGAGTGGGGGGCTGAGGAGTTAAGTGTGCCCTGCCCTGGCCTGAAGATGTCATAGTCAGCATGATGACTGCGTAAAGACCCCACCACAGTTTGCAGCTGCCCCCTCTGGGCCCAGCCCCAGCGCTGGGTGCTTCTGCTGGCCACCTACTGTCTTCAGTTTCCCGATGGTGTCCTTCAGGGCCATGACTTGTTTGGCAGCGGCAGCCCCATCCATTTCAGCCTCCACCAGCTTGGACATGAGGCACTCCTTCTCCTGCTGGAGGTGTTTCTTCTGAAGCCTGGGGCCAGAGAGAATAGGGCTCTGTGAGCCCTCCCAGGCCTCTGCCCGCCCAGAGCTCCGAGGCTCGCCTCACAATGCCCTGCGAGGTTTATCTATCTCCTGGTCAGGGAAAGGTGGGGGAGGGGGCAGGGATGGCCCTTCTGGCCTAAGCAGCCTTCTAGAAGGCCACCTGGGCCCCAGATCAGGGCCTCCACCCCAGGTGACATTATATCACCTGCTGTCCCTCAGACAGAAACTAGCATCACCTCTGTCCCCAGCCACTGCCATGGGCGCCTAACCGTCTTCAGGACCATTTTCGAGCCCCCCCCCCACTCCCTGCACTGGAAACCCCTCAACGTGCCACCAAGAGTCAGCTCCTGCCAACCTCCGTGGCACCTCTCGCCCTCGGCCCACCCTCTCTCCTCGCCCTGGCCTGCTTTCCATCTCTCAGTCCCAAACTCCTCCCACCTAGGGGCCTTCCCATGAGAGATTCCCACCCCCTAGAACGTCTTCTTCCCGGCACCGACGGCCAAGCTCCGAACCCTCCTGCAGCACTGGGCTGTTTTTCCCAGAAAGGCTTCTTTCACTGGGAATCCTGAGAGTATCAGGGACTGTGTTGAGCCCTACAACCTGGGAACAGGGCCTGGGCCGCCACCTCCCCTGCCTTCCATCCGCAGGGCTCAGGCAGCCCGATTGGAGGGAGCCCGCCCGTCAGGGCCGCCTTACATGGTGAAGTCCTTCTCCTCCTTGATGCGCTCGATGTTGTGCCTCAGCACCGTGTTCTCGTGCTCCGTCTCGGCCAGCTCCTGGGCCACCTCCTCCAGCTCCTCCTTGCGTTCCTCTAGGAACCTTTTTGGCCATCTGGCGCTCTCCCTTCTGCATCTTGACCTGTGCAGGGGCACGCAGGCAGGGGCCACTGAGGGGAGGTGGCTCCTCTCTGCCACGTCTCTAGGCCCGCTGCTTTGGACCAAGCGGAGGGCACCTCTGATTGTGCGCTACGTGGTACTGAGGGCCTCTGGGACGCAATCTCAGTCCCTATCATCACAAAGACTCTGGGCAGACACTCTTCCTCTCAATTCCTCATTACTGAGGGATGGGGGCACAGAGAGCCTGAGTGACTCTCTGGTTAAGGACAGAGCCAGGATACAAACCATGGTTCAGCTGACACACCACGGGAGGAGAGGTCACAGAAAGGCCCTGTCCCTTGGGCTGTGGAGAAAGGCGGGCCTGTTGCCAGGCAGTCAGCCCCAGGTTCTCCAGGAGGGCCCATGGGCTCCGGGCGAAGGGATGGATTAAAAACACAGGCCATGCTAGCAACCAAGACCTGGATTCCATGGCAGCTCCACCAACCTCCTAGCTGGGGGCCTTGGGCTTCCAGGTTGTTTCCAGTTAGATTGCCACGTCCCATCCAAAGGCACAGCCCAGCAACTGAGGACAAGCTTCCTTCGCCTCTTTGGGGTTTTGTTTCCTGTTTTTTTGTTTTGTTTTTTTTTTTTGTTTTTTTTCAAATTTTGCAGAAAATGGAAGACAGAAGCCCCAGTGTCCCAGCCACTTTATCTCCAAAACAGAGACAATACCACCACTGGCTTCATTTACTTTTGTAAAAAACCAAACCAGGGCATCCATACAGAGCACCAGACAGGTCAGGGCCAGAACCGGGCTAAGTTCTTGATGGAGAGGGGCCCCAGATTGCCCCAACTACCTCCCCAGAGGCATCTGAAGCCCTGGGAGGCCTGCAGAGGCAGCCAGGAAGTGTCCAGCAGGAACCCACCTGGGGAGTCCCGCACGTCCTCGGGACACTAGCTGTCCCAGCCCCCCACTCCCTCACCTCAGACTTGAGACAACCAACCGCATTCATGAGACTGTCAATCTTCTTATCATAACGGTTCATTTTACAATGACCCGAGTCATCATCTTCTGTAGAGAGGTCACTTAACCGCATCACTGAGACTAGCTTTTCTGAAGACGGTGGCGTGATCTCCAGGCAATGGGGTGGATTCTGATGTAGAGGAGGGAGAGACATATGATCTCGTAAGACAGAACTGCAACCATTGGTTCCACCACACCTGGCTGTCCACAAGAGGCAGGAAGAGCTAAAACTGCCAACGGGCAACCACAGGGACCCCAGGAGGAAGAATACTCATTACCTACCCCTTGTTTAAACGATGTTTTTGAAGACATTCTAACATACAAATAAAAAGCCTGTGTTACAACGCCAACTTTAAAACGAAGGGTATAACAAATTGGCAAAAACTGTAATTCCCAAAGTTGGCAAAAGTTTGGGGCAATAGATATTTTCATATACCTAGGGTAGACATAAGATATGTCTTATAAAGACTTTTTAAAAAAGTCTTTTAAATGAACGTGAATACATGATAGTGGATAGCCACAAAGGCACACAAATCTTTGAAAGGTATTTTAAGGACAAGTGGGGAAATCTGAATATTGAATATTATATGATATTAAGAAATGAAGTTTAAAAAATGAAATTTTCAGGACTAATCACTGTTATTTTGGTTATGGAGAAAACATTATTACAAATGCATATTGAATAATTTATGGTTAGAATGGTATGTCTGGGAAATATACTTAAATACATAAGCATAACAAAAAAAATTTAATGTATGTGCGTGCCCCTCAGAAGAATTTATATAAAGCCTTATAACACTTTACTTTTAAGACTTCAAAAAGATACTCTAATCTAGGGGCCAATGTTTCCATGGGGTTTTGCTCTACTGAACTTCATTCTCACTCTATAAATTTATTCCAGTACATTAAGTAATTGTTATTTCTCATTATTTGCACAGTTCTTTGCTCCTCTTAAGCTGAGGTAGCTAAACTTCTCTGCCAATTTCCAGGGAAAGATGATAGCTATCAGGAATAAAAGAAAAATGGCCAGTGAGGGTGGAACTGTTATCTCAAACAAGTAAGACTCATAGGGTGCAATTTAAAAAATGTATGTGCCCTTTGTCCTAGCAATTCTATTTCCAGGGATTTATCAAGAATATCTAAGAATATGAATCAATATTTAAATTCAAGGCTAGGATATAGATAAATATATATAACAAGATAGTATTGGTTAAATACTTAACAGTACACAAATGTACACACAATGGAATAATGCCTTAAAAATAATGTGCAATGTATAGTTAAAATACGTGGAAAAAAGAATATTATACAACAGTGAGTAAATATAATCCAACTGTTAACAAAAATCAAAAGAAAGAGGCTATTCACAAGGAAGAATCAGGAAGGTTTGCACCTAGAAGTTACATGAGTCTTCTCATGGTGGTGGGATTCCAGGTGCTTTTTGCTGTCTTCCTTGTGCTTGTTTAGACTTTCTAATTTTTCAACAATGACTAAGCATTGCTTTTATAAGAAAAAAAAGTTATTTTTAATGTTTAAAAGGAGGACAAGAGAAAAATATACAGACAGTATGATCACAATTTAAAAAAAAACTGCATAGGAAAAAGTGACAGTAAAGGTACCAAAATATTAATAGTTTCAGGAAAGGGGTTATCCTCAGGGATGGCAGTGACAGGAGCAGAACCAGAGAGGAGCTTCTGGGGAAGCTGGTGATGTTGTGTCTGGAGCTGGGTGGTAGTTACACAAGTATGTTCTGTTTGTAAAAATTCACCAAGGGGGAGGGTATAGCTCAAGTGGTAGAGCGCATGCTTAGCATGTATGAGGTCCTGGGTTCAATTCCCAGTACCTCCTCTAAACATTAACAAATAAACCTAATTACCCCCCACCAAAAAAAGGAAAAAAAATATTTCACCAAGCGACACACTTCCAATGCGTGTATTATCCTGCAGTTTCTAGCAAAATGTTTTTAAAACTTAATAGCAGCCAGATTAGAGGAGTAGAATTACAGGTGATTGTCTATTTTTCTGTACTTTCAACTTTCTGTCATAAAAAGAGATTATTTATTTATTAATAGGGGGGGAGGAAAAACCCAGACCTGCTTTCTCCCAGAGATCAGCTTATGTACCAAAAGGGTTTTAAAAATCGACAAGAGTCCCTACGTGCACCTCGCAACTTCTAGGGCCCATGTCCAGCTCCACTACAAACTTCCTCCTCCTCCGATTTTTTCTCTCTCGCCCTTAAGGGAAGGGCCAGGCTGGGGCTTCCCGGGAACAGGGAGAGCCACTGAAAAGTGGAAAGGGACTGGCCACAGAGGACAGCATGAAAGACAGCTACTGCTTGACAGCCGGCAAGTCACATCTCTGGGCCCCTCCATTTATAGGGTTCTGTGGCCTCAGGACTGGAAGGGGCATTGAGCTTTCCAGAGGGAACCACCACAGCTCCAAGCGACCCATGTCAACAGGAAGTCCATTTTCATAGCACCATAACTTATATGTACCTTTTGAAAACTACCAAGTCTTTTCCTTTTTAAAAAAGCATTTTAAGTGATAAAATATAGCAAATTTGTTATAAAGAAATTCAAGCAGCACAGGGAACTATATTCAATATCCTGTAGTAACTTATGGTGAAAAAGAATATGAAAATGAATACATGTATGTTCATGTATGACTGAAGCACTGTGCTGTACACCAGAAACTGACACAACACTGTGAACTGTCTATACGTCAATAAATATATATATACCAAAAAATTTTTTTAAAAATTAAAAAAAAGAAATTCAAGCAGACCATAAAAACATGAAGCATTAAAGCCTCCCACAAACAGAGATAATCACTGGTTACCACTTCTTGTAGATCATCCCAGAAAATGTTTGCACATACAAACATATCCATATGCACATGGACACACAGACACCATTTTCTGTGCAAATAGAACCAAACTCTCCGTGCTGCGCCTCTCTGTGCTTCGTTATCACGTAGAACTATCTAGCTCGATCTTGTAGTGGTTGCATGATATTCCATTGTATGGATGTGTCATGATTTAACCAATATCCTCCTGACAAACATTTAGGTTGCTTTTAATTTTTCTCTATTGCAAACAGTGCTTTAGCAAACATTCTTATACCCAGATCCCTCTATTTTCCAGTGAATTTTTTAGGATCAGTTTCCAAGTGTAAGACTAGAGAATCCATGTTTAAGTAGGCGCCACCAAACTGCCTCCAGAAACACTGGGTCGGTTTCACGTCCTCTCAAAACCATCTAAAGAGATTCATTCATATGCCATACACTTGTCAACACGAGATACTGGTAACCTTTTCAACTTTTTTTCCATTCAATAAAAATGATAGTTTGTTGTTTTCTTCTAAAATACAGTTGTTTATAATTTACATTTCACTGATTATTAGTGAGGTACACATAGTAAAAAATTTAAGAAAGCATTTTAATTCCAACCTTCCTTGTACTTTAATATAGAGAGATATGCAGACACTTTCCATTTCCCTAGAATACCCATACTTCCTTTGTCTCTTAGGGATAAAATGGTACATCAGGGTCTTGGGTCAAGAGCATGGAGTATGACTATAAACTTCAGAGTAATTACTGTTATTTCTAATTTTAAAAGTAATAAGCTATCAGAAAAATAATGAACCTTTCAAAATAGATCAGGCATCAACATCTTAAGGTACAGCTGTCCCTCGGTATCCACGAGGATTGGTTCCAGGATCCTCACAGATACCAAAATCCGAGGATGCTCAAAGCCCTTATACAAAACGGTGTAGTGTTTTCACACATAATCTATGCACATCCTCCTGTATACTTTAAATTATGTCTACATTATTTACAATACCTAGTGCAATATAAATGCTATGTAAACAGTTGCCAGCACATAGCAAATTCAAGTTTTGCTTTTTAAAACTTTCTGGATTTTGTGTGTGTGTGTGTGTGTTTCAATCTGCCGTTGGTTGCGCCTGCAGATGTGGAACCTGCAGATTTGGAGGGCCGACAGTAGTCTCAAGCCCTTCAGTGGTTCTAACAATGAAATCTTTGTCTAAAACACAGCCAAAAGGCCTTGTCTTATCATTGGGTTTTTTTTTCACTGCAATTGACTAGAATGTAAGCATAAGGAGGGAATGTCTGCCAGTTTGCAGCTATAACTCCGAAGCCCAGCAGTGTCTCAAGAAATGCACAGATTTTTTGTAAGAAATTACTGCACAGATGGATGGATGGACAAGCAAAACTTATTGAGGTATGGCTAAAAAAAGACAACAGTTCCCTTGGCACCTTGACAACTAATACTGAAGGCAATTATTCCTCAGGAGGTTGTGCCAGTAGTTTTGATGGTATCTATGGAGTTTGCACATGGTCTCTTATGGGCGACCACAAAAGAGGAGATGCTTTCTTGGATATGTACGTTCTGGTATGTATTTTTAGATTATGCCTCAGACATCTTGGTTACATGGGGCAAGACATGTAGCTCCTCACGTACAAATCAGAGAAGCTACGAGAACAGCCTCTGGAATGAGACACCCCTGAGTCCTAACTCCAGCTCTGTGACTCTCTCTGTGAGACTTAACCTCTCTGAGCCTTGGTTTCCTCATCTGCACACTGGGACCTACCACATCGCAGTGTTGGAAGGACTCGAGAAGATTCCCGTACTTTCAGGGTTTAGCAAGGCGCTCAGTAAGCGGGACCCGCTGGGATGTCTCTGAGAGCTACGGCCGACCCTGAACCATACCGAGTGTAAGGCTTGCTAGAACCTGACCAATCCGAGAAGAAAAGCCTGAACAAGAATGAGCCTACCTCCCACTTGCATCCCACATGCCGGGTGGATGATTTTCCAGGGGGCATCCAAGGTACCTTGGTTTTCACCCGGACACTCCGCCGCACATTCACGGTGTCCCCTTTCATTCCGCGCTTATGAGATTTCTGTGGAAAGGGACAAACCCAGAGTCACTTCCCCACATAGTTGGCCGTGGCATCACTCTGGTGGCATCCGCTTCCAACTCTGCAGGGGAGCCTCTTCTGACTAAGGCTACTGCTGCCATTTCTGGATGACAGTCCTGCCTACCTTCCAACCAGGTGACTGACCTCAGAGAGCGAGCATTTGTCTTGCAAACCTCTGGAGTTAGAGGCGCAGGGAGGCTAAGCTGGGAGCTATCACCCTGCTCCACAGCCTCCACCTCGCGCCCCTGGCATGCTCCTACCTGGCTGTTGGTCGCTGATGGTTTCGGGAGTTTTTTAATGTGGACGTGGACAGGGGTGTTCTCATCCACGTGAACATGTAAGGGGGGAGTTGAAGAGCGGTCCTTCATGGTTCGCTTCTGGCAGGCGTGGGAGGACAACACAAAAAAGGTTGATCTGTGGATGAGTAAACTGGGCATGAAAAACAGCTCACAGCCTCTGGGGGCCACTGAAAGCCTAGCCACCAAGCGAGCAGGACAGCGACCAGGACTACTGGCATGCAGGCAGGAAGCAAGGCGGGAGCCACTCAGCAGGCTTGTGCAGAGATCCCAGCTGAAGACCACCAGGGAGGTGCCGGTCTGCTCAAGAGAAGGGACTGCAAGACTCGCAAGTTCTACCAAGGAGCCCAAACCCAGGCGCCTGGGTGTTCAGAGCTGAGTCTCCTCCCAAGCCTCCTGAGATTTAGCACAGCACAGCAGGGAAACAGGTGACTCCTACACTGGAATCTGAACTGGCGTGTAGATTAGCATGGGAAACACATAAAACAGTTAGGGTGCAAAAGAAATTGAGCAACAGGCAGGTAAAAGACGATGAAGACGATGAAGACAGAAAGCTGGAGGAAATGCCGAGATGAGAAGGTTGTGTACTCTGAAGACAACATAAGCAGGGCAGAACACAGACCCCCTCACCCACCACCACCAGCTAGCAATCTCCCCTCATTTCTTTACTTTTTTTTTTTGATAGTCTATTTTGAGATTTTTGAAATTTGTCTGGAAGAATTAGGGTAAGACAACCTCCTCACACCTGGCAGCCTGACCACAGGCAAAACCAAAATCTAATCAATCAGCAGGCTATGCATGAAGGCATCTAACAAAGCGCCAAGACCCGCGGAAGTGGTTTTTGGCAGGGCCGCAGACTGGAGGGCTGCTCCAGGCGCACATCACCTACCGTCACAGTCACACTGGGTGCGCCACAAGGTGTCCTCAAGACCTTTTTCTGCGTGAGACTCGTTACTCCGTTCTTCCCACACGATGGAAACCTGAACCCAGGCACAAGAACCAGATTATAAGCAGAAAACTAGGGCTCTTCTATTTCTTAGATCTCCCAAAGTTATATACTACATATGGCGGTTAACACATCCACAGCTAGGAGAACCAGTCTGGAATTACTTGGCTCCCTTTACACGAGCACCAAACACTCATGGTGTGCCCAGCAGGGGGATGGAAACGGGGTGATGGGCACTCACAGGGCTAGTCTTTTAACCTGCCATTGCATCACACGTATTATGACCTTTTGCTGAGAAGCCCAGCTGTCACCCTGTCTGTCAGGGGACAAAAAGCAGGCAGCATGTGAGCAACAGCCAACATCCTAGTCTGCCCAAGTGTGAAAGAGCCCAGGGCAGTGCCTGGAGCAATGCTCAGTGAATGACAGACATGAAAAGACAGAGCAATAGGCTCAGGAACAAAGTCTCTGTGGCTCATATCCATACAATTATTCAATTGAGAGGATGAAAAATGACTATTTCCCCAAGTATTCCACTTGCTATCCTTTAAGCACCTATGAAGTGGGGTTATTTTTGTTTAATTTTTTTAATACCACTTGTAATCCATCTTGCTTATACATAAACAGCCCCATCACCAAATTTGCAAATAAAGCAAAAGTTTAATCTCCAAAATTTGGCCGCAGGACCTCCCAGAATTCCAGGATGGGAAGGGACTTGGAAAGTATATTTGATCCATCCCACTGCCTGATGGCCCCAAAATATGGCCTCGCCCTTGCCCTCCATTATTTTAGGAAAAACATAATACAACATAAAAATCTTTAAATACTTTAGCATACATTTTGCTGTATGTATATTGCACCTTGATAAAAAATTATTGAACGCCACTAATTATTTAGCCAAGGACTACCAAATCTGAGCAGACAGGGTTTTTTTTTTTCCCTCCTCAAGTAAAACATTTCTGTTCGCTTAAAGCTGATAGATTTGGGAAAGCTCTCACCCTCAGCAGGCTTTCCATCAAACCACCTGGATTCCATCAACATCTGACTAACTGCCACATCTACCTCAGACATTATTGTTATTTATACCTAGCCTCCTTTCAAAAAAGTTCTGACTATTCCAATGACAATGATGGTGATCTTATTTGCTACCAAGAACTGGGGCAACGGAGGAGGGAGAACCAGAGGGAGACAGAGCTGGAATTATGTGCATGTATTTTCCACCTCCTCTTAAAAATTATTTTTAAATGTTTTGGTCCAGATTTTCAGTACACAGAACAGGGAAGCTGAAAAGAGAAGCCTCCAGCGAGCCCCTGCCCACTTTTCCCCGCCATACAGTGGGCGTGCCCCCAACACTAGTAGTACCTGGGGGAGCCGCCTGAGGATGAGGCAGACATGGCTAGGCATCAAAGCCACAAAGGTGGGCAATTGGGTCAGCAGGCTCTGCTCAGGGGGACCCAGAGGGGCTTGTCAATGAGAATCTCAGGGGCCCGGCATCAAACGTCCTCTCTGAGGGGAGGAGGGTGGAAGCTTTGGGGCTGGCAGTTGGATGAAAACTTGGGAGGCGCTCCTCTACTGTCCAAGTCGCACAGCAACTGTCCTGCCAAAGTGTTGGGAGATAGGAGAGGCTGAGCGACCTGCGGGGAGGCGGGTGGGCGGGGCGGTAGGAGCTCCCCTCCCCAGGGAGGGACGGGGGGGCGGAACTTCGACGGAAAAGACCACCACTCCCAGGCCCCACAAAGGGAGGGAAGGTGGGTGGCCACCAGAGGGGAAACCTGAGTTGCTGGTTGGCATGCGAGGAGGGCGGGAGAGAACCGCTAGGCCCCAATTGGGCCCCGGAGGGCCGGAACAGGCACACAGAGCTGGAGGGATATTCGGGGCGGGGCCAGGGCAACTGTCTCCTAGGAGAAGGGGCGTTTCCGGCAGAATAGATACCCAAGAGGACCAATAGTATTTGAAGGAGGGAGGAGCGGAGGCTGCAGGGGGAAAGGGAAGCTAGGCAGCGAGTGGGTGCCCTGTCCGCTGAGGGAAAATCCTCCCAGGCGCAGCAGCGGCCGCTGGGATTTACTATCTGAGTTAGAGCAGGTTAGACGCCGGGTAGTGCAGGGAGAAGGGCGGGACGCCCAGGAGGCCTGCTGGTCCGGTGAGCCTAGTCGGGTCGGGCGGCCCGGGGGCGGTCCCCGGGGACAGCGCTGCCTACGAGGAGCGGGCAAATAACTGCCGGGCTGAGGCCCGCTGGGAGGGCGAGGGGGACGGGGCGACGCCCACCGGCGGGCAAGAGGGCGCAGGGCCAGTCTCCGTCCGCAGAGAGGCGGGACGACCACCCACCAGCGGGCAGGAGGGGCCCAGTTTCTGCCCATAGAGAGAAGGGCGAAGCCCTGCCGGAGGGCAGCAGAGGAGGGAGCAGAGCCCTGCCGGTGGCCAGGTGAGGAGAGAGGCGGCCGGCCCGCCCGTTAGCGGGAGGAGAAGGCCCGCGCCGGTGGGCGGGGCAGGGGGCCAGATTCTGACGGGAACCGGACGAGCGCGCCGGAGGGTGCAGGTGGGGGCGGCCCGGGGGGACAGCGGGACCCGGCGATCTCGGCGGGGGCCATCCCGCCCGTGGGGACCAGGCCCGGCGGCGGCCGCGGGACGCCCGAGAGCGTCCTGGATCCCGCCTGCCGGCAGCCTCTCACCAGGAGCGACACGGCTGCGCCCAGAAACGCCTCCTTATGAAGTCGTTGAAGTCGGAGGCCAGGGTCGTGCCATGGAGACGCCGCGGCGGATGCAGTCCAGCCCCGGCGGCGACTCCTCCCCGCTTCCGCCTCCTTTTTCGACACCCGATCGGCAGCTCGCCCATTGGCCAGTTCAAACCCCCCGGGGAGCCTCTCGGGTTTCGCCATTTAGGCCCAGCCCCTGGCGTCACAGAGATGCCCCGCCCCGCCAAAGGCACCGCCCACTTCCGGGCCACGAGTCGTGTCGCCATGGAGACGCACGACGCCACTGACGGACCTGGCCCGAGCTTGCCTCGCTGTTCAAGGCCTGGCTTTCCCCCTCCGCCATTTTTACTCTTCCTTCGGTCCTCCTCGGTTCCCGTAACTCAAAGGAGCCCCCAAAATCTAATCCGCTCCCTCTGATACGTATTAGATCACTGGGCTCAGAGAGGAGTCACAGAACAAGATAGTGTCCGGAGCTGAGCGCTGCTTCTGAAAATCCAGCCCCGTCTCTCCTCCCCTGTTGGTGCAGACATGGAGCCCGCTTCTTTACACCACTCAAGACTCTTTCCCCGTCCTATATCCCTCTGTCTTTGTCCAGGTGGGAGGAAGGGTCCGCGTCCCCTCCTCACTGGCCTCCTGCACGCTGTATGTCGCTATATATACACAGACCTACTCTAATGAGGTTCTTGCTGAGTCGCCATCTTCTCAACTATGCTTCACTGTCAACCAATCGTGGGGCTCTGTCACGTGGCTCACAGAGCCGCCATGGATTCTGGGAGACTTTAACATCCTCAGAGCCAGCCCAGACTCAGTTCCTTGACATCCTCATCTCCGTGACCTTCCCCGCACCTCAGCCATGTACCCCCAGGTCCACCTGAAATCTTAAATTCCAGCTCCCCCTTCTCCAAGCAGAAGTCATTCTTCTGCCTTCCTGCTCACCGTCTAATGCTTACAGTATTCATTCCTCAGTGTGAGGGAGCCCTCCATTCCTCCGACTAGCTCATTTTTTCCCCTGTTGACTAAATGATGGATCCCCAATCCCTATTGTAACCAAACCACCTGAATCTCTGCAAAGATCAAATCCACAAATCATTGCTTCCACCCTTAGCTTAGCCCTCAATATTGCCCAGCAATTGTTTTCTCTGTCCCTGGACCCCTTCCCCACCCCACAGTGGCTTTTTCAGGTTTTTGCCTCTTCTCCATCCCATATTCCAACTCTCCTTTTTCGTAGGAAAAAATAAAGCCATCCAGTGGAATTCCCTTCACCTTCTCCCAACTCTCCCTCATCTTTAACTTCCCCCACCTTGTGCCTCTCCTTCAGAGGAAGTGATGTCTTTCTTGCTGCCCAAGATAACCTTGTTTCCAGGCTTAAGTCAAACATCTCTGTAAAATGTCTCTTTCCACCCCAATGCAAAGAGGGGAGGTGGGTATAGCTCAAGTGGTAGAGCGCGTGCTTAGCAAGCAGAAGGTCCTAGGTTCTATCCCTGGTACCTCCTCTAAGAATAAATAAACTTAATTATCTCCCCCCAAAATAAAAAAAAGTCATTAAATAAAAGTGCACACTTCCAATGCAGAGTTTTGATCATTTCTCAGTGCTCCTACATACAATGAACCGATATTTATTAAGTCCCTACTGTGTGTTAAGCCCAGTGTGATGAACACCAGACCAACACATCCCACTAAGTCTTCAAGGCACCCTCAGCCAATCACTTTTTTTTCCAACAAAAGTTCTCACAGACTTATTACTGAGCCAAAGCACTCATCCAGAAACACTGACACAAAGAGAAAAGTCATTTTCCCAATAAAATTCGTCCAGTCATTCAGATAGTAGTGAGGTTTTCAGAATGATATGGTAAGATGCAAATGACCCTGACACAGCATAAATACGTGTGCCACCTCATGTGCAGGGCTCCTTATAGACCCAGCTTGGTTCTTCTCCAATGCCTTCTCTCGGACACAGTCAACCACCCTTAATGTGACCAGATGAGATGATTAAAGCTTTCCCCTCCCCACCCACTGAAGGATTTTGCCTCTGTGGTTTTGTTCCCTACTCACCATCTAAGGAGGGTCCTTCCCTGCCAGTGCAGTTCTCTGGGGCTTTTGTGAAGGAGAATCCAAGAACGGGCAGGACTGAGAGGCCATACCCCCTCAACACATACACATATATACACTCGTGCACATACTAGAGGCCAGTGATGAGGAGGAGGAAGAAAATCTCAGAAGAAGGGGAACAGAGAGGTATTGGGGGAAGGCTCCTAGCTTTTGGTAGTTCCTTGGTAGCAGAATTCCAGTCCACAAATGGTTTTCTCCATTTGTGTCTGTCTCCAAATTTCCCCCGTTTATAAGGACATAAGTCACAGTGAATTTGGGGCCCATTCTACTCCAGTATGACTTCATCCTAACGAATTACATTTACAACAACCCTGTTTCCAAATAAAGTCACATTCTGAGATAATGGAGGTTAGGGCTTCAACATACTAACTTTTGGAGGACACAATTCAACCCAAACAAAATGCATACGTTCCATTTAAAGATGTATGATAAACACTGATGGAGCCACTGTCCAGTTTAAGGAAGATTTTTTAAAATTTTTAACCAGAAGACACAATCTTAAAACATTAACACTGGTGATTTTATTTTCCTCATTCTGTTTCTCTGAATTTCAGCGATGAACATGGGCCTTTCTTGTTAGTTAGGAATAACCACAGGTGAAGGAGGAGCTGTCAGCTCCAGCGCTGGGCCCTAGCCCTGCGTGAAACTCAGAGCAGAAGGACACCCGGGTCCTCAGACTCAGGAACAGCCTCTCCATTTGCTCAAGGGCCTAATTACCAGTTGTTTCCATCCTGGAGCACTTCCTCCAGGGCCCTGATGCAACACCATGAGACTTCCCCTGGGAGGAGGAGTCTGTGCCCCAAAGTGGTCTGGCTTTTTCTTTCAGGTAACTTGAGAGATTTCAAGTCCTGGGTGCAGCAGGGAGAGAAAATTCTCCCAGGCCCTCTCAAGGCTTGGCTCCTCTTGGACCTTTGGCCAGCCCCTTACTGGCCCTGGGCCTCTGAGGTTGGATGGACGCAGGGCTCAACTGAGAAGAGAGTCCTGGTTTCCATAGTAGCCCAAAGCAGCGGTTCTCAAAGTGGGGTCCCTGCAGCAGCACTAGGGAAATTGTTAGAAACGCACATTCTTGGTGCAGCCACAATGGAGGACAGCATGGAGGTTCCTTAAAAAATTAAAAATAGACTTACCATGTGATCTAGCAATCCCACTCCTGAGCATATACCTGGAGAAAAATAAAATTCCAAAAAGATACATGCACCCTGATGTTCATAGCAGCGCTGTTTGCAGTAGCCAAGACATGGAAACAATCCAAATGTCCATCAACAGATGACTGGATAAATAAGATGTGGTATATGGAATACTACTCAGCCATAAAAAAGAATAAAACAATGCCACTTGCAGCAACATGGATGGACCTGGAGATCGTCATTCTAAGTGAAGTAAATCAGACAGAAAGAAAAATGTCACATGATATCACTTATATGTGGAATCTAAAAAAAAAAGGACACAAAATGAACTATTTATGATTTATAACTTAGATGATTGATTTCTTGAATATGTGTAAGCACATCTGACTGTCCTTTATGATTGGATTACTGCATTCTGTTGATTCTTATTTTGTGGTTGGCTTTATTCCTTTAACAACTATGTAAGTTTAAAAAGCTAAAGCTATAATCTGTTCTTGAGAACAATGATCAGTACATATATGTAAACAAAAAAATGTGCAGTATATTGTACATATGTATTTACATGCACTATAATGTATATGTGCAGTCAAGCTGTAATAATTCTACCTAATAAAACTGAAAAAAGAAAAAAAGGATACCATTTAGAATCAGTAGAAACCTAAAGGTAACACTACGGAAAAATGACAACATAGTATGCTACTATATGCATTAAAAAAAAAGGAATGCACATTCTTTAGGCCTCACCCTAGACTTAATGAATCAGAAACGGGGGGGTGGGGGGTAGATGGCAATCTGTGGTTTAACAAGCTTTCCAGATGATTCAGATACACTCTAAAGTTTGAGAAGCACTTCCCAGGCCATCAGGGAGGGATCTTAGAGGGCAAATCTAGTCATGCCCCTTCATTTCACTGAGGGGGAAACAGACATTTTACAGAGAGAAGGACCTCCCCGGAGCCCTGCTCTTTCCTCTGACTCAAGCAGATGTCCCAAATCCATACTGATTCTCTGTCATTGTCTGGAGGGTCATTGTGATAGCAACGACCATCCATGCAGCATCCAGACACCGTGCTCACCTGCATTAGCTCAGTGAATCCTCACAACATTCATGGGGGTTGGCTCAAGTGTAACCCCATTTTACAGACCAGAAAACTGAGCCTAGAGAAAGATCAGGACACTTGCCTGAGGTCACAGAGCTAAAAAGGGCTGAGACAACTCAAACCAGTTTTCTCTGCCCCCAAGGCCCATGCCGGGGCTGGCAAGACCACACCGAGGTCTGCGGGGAGGGCTCTTCTCCAGCTTCTAAATTTGGCCAAGAAACTGGAAGAGAGACAAAAAGGCAAAACAGCTCGCAAACAGCCAAAGCTACTACCACTTACTCATAGCAAAGCAACTCATCTCTTGGTTTGCACACATTTATACTGACCTTGATGGGTAGCAGAGGGGTGAGGGTGGGCAGAGCAGATTAGAAGCAGTCCACGGAGAGTGAGGAGGAGTAGACATGGTTCTTGCTCCAGACTCTTTCCCCACTCTTACTTCCCTGTAGTTCCCCAAGCCTCCCCCAAGCAGTAGGTTTGACTCGGGGCAAGGTTTCCCAACCTTTTTTTTTTACAGCAGGGCATACAGAGAAAACCAAAATATTTACACAGCACCTGAGCAGTCTGGTAGGTATTGGTGGATGTTTGGAAGTCTTGATGAAAGTTTCATAAATCATTCTTTGTAGCATGTATTAAGATTAGAGACTAGTATGGAGTATTAGGGGAGATTTTAAAGCTCAATTTTGAGTAAAACTTCCGGATAAAACATTATGCTGGATTAAAGAAGACAGACATAAAAGGCCACAAACTGTGTGATTCCACTGATATGACAGTTTAGAAAAGGCAAAGCCACAGGGACAGCAAACAGAGCAGTGCTCTCCAGTGCTTTCTGGGTGGCACAGGGGAACTTTTGGGGAGGTGTATATGTATTCCATATCTTCATTGTTGTGGTAGTGACATGACTGTTTACACTTGTGAAAAATCATCAAAGTCAATTTTACTGAACGTCAATTTAGCAGCAGTTCCCAAACCTGTCAGCTCCTCAGAATCATCTGACGTGGTTTTGTTCAGAAACAATCAGTCCTCACCCACAGCTTACTGAATCAGAACCCTGAGCAGGGGTGTTGGGGGTGGGCAGAAATCTGCATTTTTGACTAGCCGTGCAGGTAACTGGTGGTGGAATGTGTGATTTGGGGCCAGGACTTCTGGGTCTGGACAGGGGATGCCAAGCTTCGATCTCCAGCCCAGACGGGACCTCTGAATCCCAGGCTCATGTATTCAACTCCTACTTGACACCTGTACCTGGATCTCAAATGCAGCACGTCTAAAACTGATCTCCTGACCTGCCCCCAAGAAAGCTCCCCCGACCCCAAAGTTTTCTCTATTTTGGATGATGACATTTCCATTCTTCCAGTAATTTGGGCTCAAAACTTTGACATCAACCTCAATTGCTCTGTCTCTGTCTCTCTCCTTTGTTGTTTAGCTTTTATTTCATAATCATAAACAAATCTGCAATCCAGCTCCACTTGGAGGGAGGAAAGGAAAATATGGAACCCAAGGACTTGCAGCAGGAGCACAAAGATTACAGGATGCCATGAACAGGTGAGGATGAGGGGTACTGTCCTGAGCTATAGAAGAAATGGGCTGACGTTTAAGATAAAACACAAGTCAGATTTCTTAGAGTTGTCCACAGACAGCAATGGTGAGCTTCTTACTGGTCTTGCCATTCCTGGAACCAAAGTGCTCCAAGACTGCCTCACGGTTCATGCCCTTTTTCACTTTGCCAAAGACCACATGCTTGCCGTGCAGCTACTCAGTCTTGGCAGCGCTGATGAGAAACAGGCAACTGCTTGTGCTGGGTCCAGCATTTGCCACCGACAAGATGCCAGGACCCGTGCGCTTCAGGGTGAAATTCTCATCGAATTTCTCCCTGTGGATGGACGCTGCCCATGCTATGATGGTATGTGAAGTCACCACCCTGGCACATAAATCCTGGAATAATTCTGTGAAAGCAGGACACTCATAACCAAATCCTTTCTCCCCAGTGCTCAGATCATGCAAGTTTTCTGCTGTCTTTGGAACTTTGTCTACACACAGCCCGAAGGAGAAGCAGCCCAGGAGCTCACCAACAATGTTGAAGAACACAGTGGGGTTGACCATGGCTAGGCAGTGAGAGGTGGTTCCCAGTGGTGGTAGTGGCCTCTGTAAAGCCTCCTCTCCTCTTGAAATCCTGCTAGCTCTGCCTTCTCACCACCCCCACTGCTAACACCGTGGTCTGAGGCACCTTCAGTTCTCACCAGGATCATCACAATGAGCTCCTAACATGTCTCCTTAGTTCTACCCTGGACCCAGCGATAGACAGTTCATTTCTCAGTACAGAAACCAGGGTGATCATGTTAAAATATGTTAGATCATGTCATTTCTCTGCCTCACACCTTCCAGCGGCTCCTTATCTCAGAGTAAAAGCCAAAATGGCCTCCAAGGCCCTCCCTGCTCTGGCCCCAACCTTGGCTCCATTACCTCCAGACCTTGGCTCCTCCTTGCTCATTCTGCTCCAGCCACAGTGGCCTCCTTACTGCCTTTTGAACCTGCCAGTCCTCCTCCTGCCTCAGGACGTTTGCACACACTGCTCCTTGGCCCAGAATGGTCTTCCTTCTGAAATCCTGGTACCTTGTCCCCTCACCTTCAAGTCTTTGTCCAGACGTTAACTTCTCAGATCAAACTTGATATTTCCCCCCTCATTTTGTTCTATAGGACTTACCACCCTCCAGCATTTACTTCTCTGCTAGAATGTCAGCTCCACGAGGCCAGGGATTTTTTGGTCAGTTTTATTCACCGCTGTATCCCTAGTGCCTTAACATGGCACATAAGAAGTGCTCAATAAATGTTCATTTTAATGAATGAAAGGGATGCCTGAAGCCTAAAGAGAAGGGACTTGCTCAAGGTCACAGCCACCCAGAATCAATGATTTTTGGTCTTGGAATGAACAAAGCACCAATCCTACGGCTCTGGCCCAAAGCTCTTCTCATAACTCTGCCAGGCTCTGGAACCACAGCTGGGCCAGCTGGACCTCATCCCCAGGACGGGACAAAGGAAAGCCCAGTCCCAGGGGGTGCCTGACCGACTCTGCCAGGCCCAGGAGCTTACACGACCAAGTCAAGGGGCTGCACGGGGGAGGGGCTCCTCTGAAGAATGAAACCTGAAGATGTGGGTGCCACAGTGCCGCGCTGGGGGAGGCCACAGCAGCCATAACCAAGGCAAGGAGCCACCTCCCCACCCCTCTGGCTGCCTGAGTGCAGGCACTGGAGACAGCTGCTGGGCCCAGAAGCCTGATCCTGTAAGGGTGGGGAGGGAGGAAGGCCAGCAGTTCTCAAGCAGAAGAGCAGAAGGTAAAGCAGCTGCAGGTAACCCAGGGCACAGGGGCAGGTTCCAAATGCCCCAGGTTCCCTTCCCGTTGTGGGCCCCAGACCAGCAGAGGGCGCCCTGGGACACAAGGTACAGGTTCTGCCACCTTACGCTCTCTGGTGGCCACGCTGGTGAGGGCAGGAGAAGAGCCACTTCCAGGGGAGGGGTTCCAACCGCACAAGTGAAAATCCAAAGGCAGGGAGGCCTTGGCAGCCCTGGGTATGGCCTGGGCCCACCTCAGGGTGAGGCTGGTGATGACCATGACAGCCCCAGTGGGTGAGCACTCCCTGTGGGCTGCGGTCCAGGCCCAGATGCTTTTACCCCCTGGGGCCAGTGAACTACTTCTCTCACCTCCACTTTACCAAGAAGTAGACTAAGAAGGTGATGCCTGATCACCTGACTCCTCCTCTAGGCGGCCCTCCCGTCTCTGTCTCTCCATAGATAGGGAACGCCTCCCTCTCAGACATCAGGACACGCAAAGAGGCTCAGCCATGAGTTAAAAAAGTATAAAGTGCAATACCAGCCAGCTTTTATTGAGCGCCTGCTGTGTGCTGGGTCCTCCTCCCACCTCCCTGCACTTCCCACTGGCCAGGGAAGAGGGTGGCAGGTGAGACCCAGGCGTCAACCTGGGTGGGGAGCTGAGGTGGAGGTAGAAGGGGGCAGAGGGGCCTCAGCAGCTGGGTCCCTGGGGGCGGGGCAGGGCTCCTGAGTCTGCCCAGCTTGAAACTGCAGGCTGGGGAGCCCGCCTTATTCCCTCCATCCCAGGCACTGAATCAGGCCAGGCAAAGTAGGAGGCCCTGCGAGCCCTGCCCTTGTGTTCCGTGACCTTCAGGGAAGGGGACTCATCTCTGAGTGGTTTCTCCCAATGTAAGACGGGTCCCGAGGGCAGAGTGGCCACGCTCAAGGGGGCAGCCAGATCTCTGCTGGGTCTGTGGTTCCTGGTGGTGGCTCCTGTTCTGCTCCCTGGAGAGCCAGCCCCTGGCTGCTCCTCTGGGGTCACCACCTAGACCTGGTGGGACAAGAGAGGTAAGAGGAGAGAAGTAGGAAGAACTAGAGTTGGACAGCAAGAGGCAGAGACAGAGACAGACATAGAGATAGTCAGCAACAGAGAGAGAGAGTGCGCACAAGCTGGAGTCACAGAATCAGAAACAGAGAGACATCAACCAATACAGAGAGACAGAGACAGGCAGAGAGAATGGGAGCTGGAGGTGGAGAGAGAAATGCAGACACAGCCAAAGCTACAGAGACAGAGAGGGAGAGAGAGAAGACAGGCTGAGAAGGGAAAACTGAGACTCAGACACAGTCAGCCGTTGAAGGGGAGAGAAGACCCAGGCCCATGGAGCCAGGGGCCTCATCCGGGCTCTGCCCTCACCTAGAGCTCGTCCCGGGGGTGGGGATGGAGGCTGTGCCCACTGCTGCCGGCCAGGTCCAAGCGGGGTCCACGCAGGGTCTTGTAAGAGCCAGTCCAGCTGATGAGGCGGCCACTGTCGTCATCCCAGGGCGAGGATGTCTCTGTGTCACTGAGCCACTCAGCGTCCCCGGCATAATGGGTGGGTGCAGCGAGCAGAGGCCGGGCTGAGAAGGCTCGCAGGTCCCGCGGCCAGAAGTGTGCCTTGTACTCCTCGCTGGGAGGCGGGAGGATGGCTCAGAGGCACTGAGACAGGCCCCTTCACCCAGATCCATGCCAGCCCAGAGCCAGGCACCTCACCCCTGAAGCACCTGACCGCCCTCCCCATCTGGTCCTCACAACAAAAATGAGGCGGGATTTCTCTCATCCCCATTTTCCAGATGGGGAAGCTGAGGCTCAGAACAGGAAAGTCTCTTGACTGAAAACCACAGGGCATCACAGAATTCACACAGACTGGTCTGACTCCGAGGCTAAGCAGGGCTATTCCTTGGAGACCCGAAGGAAAGGACTCACCCCTGCCAGCCTCAGTCTCCCTACCCACCCAGCGACGGGGCTTACTACTTGCTGAGGTGCCCTCACATGACCCTGGCCTGCCCCCATCTGAGGCTCACTTGGGATGCTGGTCAAACATGATGGGCAGGAACTCATCCACAGGGAGCATTCGGCGCAGGGGCTGTGAGGCTAGCAGCTTGCGGGCGCCAGCCAGGCTCAGGACGTATGCCAGTGTCCAGTAGGAGTACCCGGCCACCACCAGGTGCGGCAGCCCCTCCACGGCTGCCTCCTCCTCAGGGTTCACCTGCTTCCGGCCGAGGTAGCTACAGGTGACACCAGGGGTCCCAGAAGTCACTGTAGGTGTCACAGGACCCTTCCCCCTACCCCATCTACAGGGCCAGTTCAGGGGCAGGGAGGTCTAGCCAGGGCTCCAAGCAGGAGCAGGCAGACCCCCAGAGGCCTACCCCTCTCCCTTGCCCCGGGGTCACAGGCTGCCTACATCAGGTCCCAAGGAAGTTTCTCTGCCTCCACCTCCTCCATCAGCCGCTCCAGCCGCCCCTTGAAGTTGCTCTCAAAGCGCACGTCATCCTCAAACACCACGACCTGGGCCAGGCCCCGGGCAACCACCTGTGGTACATGGGGGTTGGGGGGTGACTCTTTAGACTCGGGCTGTCCCCTTCCACCTGGTTGACCCTGACAGACTCTCCTGGCCTCAACTATAGGCCAAATGCTAACCCTGGCTGTGTCACTCAGCCGCTCCAAAGCTTGCTGGGGCTCCCACCGCCTGGGGATTGAAATCCCAACACCTTGCTCAAACATGGCATTCAAGGCCCTGCAGGCCCCCAGTCTAGCTCTCCATGCAGATCACGATGGCAGTCAGGATCCCTCTGCCGTCACTGGGCCCTACTACATCCCAGGGGCCACAGGGCCCCTCCATACTGCGGGAAGGAGATGGAGACACAGGGAGGTGAGACCACTTGCTCGACGACACACAGCTAGGAAGCAGCAGAACTGGGATCTGAACATGCACCTGCTGGACCCCAGGGCCCGGTTCCTCACTTCTGCCTCCTGAGCTTTCCTAAAGGAAGCTGGGCTGGGTGGGGGTCGGGGAAGACCCTGGCCCCCAACATCCCTAAGAAAAATACTTTTTGTAACTTTTAGAAATGTGAAAAGAAGATGAAATCCACTCAGTAAATGGTGAGATGCAGATATCCTTCCATCTGTTCAGAGACAGCAGAAAAACAGAAATACAAGCTCACTGCATATATTTTGGCTACAGTAGAAAATAGAAACAAAGAGTGGGTCTGTGCACCACATCCTGGAGGGGACGCCCCTTGGAGGACCAGTCCCAAGTCCTCTCCTGCCATGTCCATGCAGCACTCACGCCCCCAGCCCTGGGCCATTGGAGTCAAGCCCGAGGACCTTCTCCTTCTCACATCCCAACGCATCCAACTCCTTCCACCCCAGGGCCTTTGCCCCCACCATTTTCCTCTGTTGAGAAGACTCCTGTCCCTGCCCCTCAAGGAGGAGGCCCCCCCTGAACCCATACCAGGCCAGGAGTCCACACTTTCGAACAGCCTGTACACTACCCCCTCCACCACAAGCTGAGATCTTTCTTGACTTCTGGGTGCCGCTCTGATCCTTGAGCCCCAGGAGGGCCAGGGCTGCATTCTCCTTGCTCACCTCTGTATTCTTAGACCTGATCTCCTAGCACACAGTAGGTGCTCAGTGGAGACTGCAGGAGGAATAAGGTAGAGGGCTGGGCACATGGGAAGCTTAAAGCTGCTGGCCGGGTCTTCATTAGCATGTTCGGTCACCCACTGGTCACAGGCCCCTGCTCTCCCTGAGGGCACCGGCCAAGAGGGTAGGGTCCTCACCTCCTCCCAGATGGAGTAGTGGCTGAGGAAGCAGCCCACCTCACCCTTGGTCAGCGTGCGGCCTGAGTAGGGGTCCTGGTAGCCAGGGAGCAGATCTACGCCGAGGCTCCGCATAACACTGCTGTTGAGCATCCTGAGGGAGACGGGGTAGTGGGGTCAGGGGTGCCCGCCAGGGACCCGTCCAGAAGCACACGGCCTTTGCAAGTTGCAGACAGTCACACTGGAGTCTGGTTTGAAGGAGGCGTCGTGTGGCCTGAAGCCATCTCCTGGGAAACTGTAGCCGCCTTGGGCGCGGGGGATCCTAAGGTGGGGGCAGCAGCCTGAGGGGGATACACCCCAGGATGAATGTGGGGCAAACGGCAGATAATTCTTAGGCAGAGGCAAAAGCAAAGGACGGACGTCCAGCACTCAAGAGGGCTGGTGCATATGCAGCAAAGAGCAGTGAGGCACGCGGGGCCGTGGGACCCCTGGTTCCCTGGGGAACATGACTGGCCTGCTCCTCCCACCACTCATCAGGGATCTAAGTTCAGAAAGGAAAAGAATAACCCTAATAATAAAAATGAAGATATTATTAACCCTTGGAATACTTACTATGTGTCAGGCCCTGGCTAAGTCTTCACTGAACCCTTACAAACCCCTAAGAAGAAGGCACAGTTACTTGTCATTTACACAGTGGGGCTGAGAGATGGGGTGACTTGCTGGAGGTGACACAGCTGGTAAGTGGCAGAGCTGGAGCCCAAGCCCAGGAGCTCCAGAGCCTGGGCCTTCACCGCTGCACTCTCCTCCCTTGGGTGGGCTGTCCTTTTCCTCTGCCCTGGGACTCCCTGAGACAGATCTGCTCAGGCCCTGTTTGAATACCTCCTGGAACAGGAAACCCCTTCAACTCATCCTCTGCTTTTCCCACCCCCAGGGAGGTCTGATGGACCACCTGTCCCCTCAGCTGCCCAGGGCCCTGTCCCCACCCAGAAAGCCTCACCGGCCATCCACGGCGTCCACCACCCGCCCAGAGATCTCCATCTCCCAGAGCGAACTCAGCATGCGCTCCCGGCGGTCGGGCCGGCGGGCCAGGCTGATGACAAAGACCTGGAGGAGGTAGGGGGGTAGGTGCAGGGGGAGGGAAGAGCCCACCCACCTCCTGGCCCCAATCCTGCAGGCTGGGGGCACATACCTCATCAAACCCCATCTTGCTGGGCTTCTTTGGGGGCCTGGAGACATGCACTGATGCCCACATGGGGGGCCCATCCACTGCAGAGGAAAGCACGCCCATCATGAGTCCCTGCTGGCTCTTGTCAGCAGTGATCCCTCCCCCACCTCACTCCTGCCCCCTTGGCAGAATGCTCAGCAGGAGATCACAGAATCCACTTGTCTCCATTACAGAGATGGGCAGGCTGAGGCCCACTGGGGAAAGGGACTTGCCCCAGAGCCAGGGAATGAATTGAGGGGGGGCTAAGATCCAAGCCCACCCCCCAGCCAGGTCTGGGCTGAGGAGAAGGGGCAGGTGGGGAGGCGGGGAGTGGCGGAGGCAGGCAGGCGCACTGGCTTCCAGCCCTCACCCAGCGCTTCCAAGATCAGGTGGACGAAGTTGACTCTCTCATCCTCCAGACCCTGGTGAGATTTCACAGGCACGTTCATGTATCCATAACGGTGCTCGTTGCACACGTGGGCTGAGACCCCTGAGAAGAGAGGCCAAGAGAGTGCTGGAGTGAAGGGTAGGGCATTCAGGACCCAGCTGAGAGGTCCTATGACCCCACATGTGGGTCCTCTCTGGGACCTGGCATCCCCACCTCTGGGGCTGGAGGGAGAAAGGGCTTGGCTCAAACAATATCTACGGGACCTTTCTGCGGAGGTGGTTTATTCATTCAACAGACATGTCTAGAGCACCAGCTGCACGCTGGGGTGGTGAGCAAGACAGACAGTCCCTGCCCTTCGGGGATCCAGGTGAGAAAGGAGCAGGCAAACTCTCACCTGGCTACAGCCACCTGATGCCACCAGGCGTCACTCCACCCCTTAAATCTCTCCCACCTCTGCCCATCCCCCCTGGCCCAGATCTGGGCACCATCACATCTTGCCCAGATCCCTACGCCTCTCCTGTCCCCGCCATGCTGTCCTCCACCTGGCAACCAGAGTGGCCTTTTTTATTTCTTCAGTGTTTGACATCTTTATTATAATCATTTATTTAGCCTTTATCTTCTATAGGCTGTGAATCCTCAAGGGCAGACACACGGTATCTATAGGAGAGTTAATCCCACACCCAGCATTGGGCACAGAGCCTGGCCCAGTGCAGGTGTCGGAAGTGTGAATGATGGAAACGAAACCGCCACTCACTAAATTCCTTCAAACCACTGACCAGTTAACAGTAGCTGATACTCAAAGTAGAAATAGGAATGCAAAAATAAGGAAATACCTTTCCTTCTTCTCATTTTTCTCTCCATGTATTTGTTTCCCTTCACTCACTTTTTGCACTTGATAAGATTTGTTTTTCTTCCTGCATGTCTGCACTACAGATGTCACCAAAACTTTGCGCACAAAAAAGATGATGACAACACTCGCTTGCTTGGCCACACCTCACACACTGCTTGCTTGGGGGGCAACACTTCTTGACTAAATTGTCACTTCTAATTCACTCTGACCACCAGCAAAGTTCTCCACCCACCAGTCTTCATGTCCTTACCACCTGTCAATCCATGCTGTGAATTACAGCCTGTCGCCTTCTCAAGATCCTTACTCTGACATCAGTGTCTCTGTCTTGCTCTCAACTTCAATTCTTCCTCAGAACTGGGTTTATCCCATCCAAACCCAAACACTTTCTAGTAACTTTCATCTTAAAAATAACTACCCATAGCAGAATGATTTTTTTCAGTGTTCAAATCCAGTCACATGATCTGCTGATGGCTGCCTGACACTCACAGGCTAAAGACCAGACTCTTGCCAGTCAGGACCACACAAGCTGGCCCTGACTACCTTTCCTGCCTCAATCTGCACCATAGCCTCCTCACTTACTGTGCTCCTGCCACCTGCCTTCTTGTGTTCCCTGCAACCACAGGGCCTTTGCACCTGCTGGTCCCATTGTTTGAAATGCTCTTTCCTGCTCTGCCTACTCGTGCTTTAGATCTCAGCCCCAAAGTTTATAACCTTCAGGAAGCCTTCCTTGACTAGATCAACTCTAGTCTAAGCTCCCAGAACAACTTATAATCATTGTGATTGGACACTGATTTGTGTGACCCTTTGACTGGAAGAGGATCCAGGAGGACAAGGACTGCCTGATTTTACTCACCACTGCCTCCCCAGTGTCTGGCACCTGGTAGGTGTTCTATAAATATTTGCCTAATGAAGGAATACATGAAGGTGCCATGATGGGGACAGCCAGAAGGACATCTAAACTACTGGGGCAGTGGGCTCGAAAAATGCTATGGCCTGAAGGACAAACAGGAGTTAGTTAACAAGATGCATTGTGGAGTGGGGAAGGGCATGCAAAGCAGGGGGAACAGCATGTGCAAAGGCCTAGAGGCCTCGAAGGAATGCTCAAGGAGAGCTGTCCTCACCAGCAGCCTGACAGGCGTAGGCGAAGACAATGATGTCGTCGAAGGGCCAGGTATAGTTGGGGTGAGGGGGATAGAAGGCGAGCTGGTCTGTCTCCTCAGCCCTCAGGGAGACCAGGAAAGTGGAGTGGACCATGGGGACATGGAAGCATCCCCGGCGCTGGCGGTTCTTGGTGGGGAAGTACTCAGCTGTGCGGCGGTAGTAGCCCTGGGGAAGGGGTGGCTTTGGCTGTGAGAGGGCGCCCCTTCGTCCCCAGCACACTGCTCCCCAGCCGTGGCCTAGAGACCCCGAGGCCTCTAGGCTGTCTCCCCTCCCCGGGTTTCCTCTCAGACCTCAAGCCTCCTGAGGACCCCGTCCCCAGCCTTACCTGGGGGGTGATCCCACACCAGAAATTGGAGTAGTAGGTCTGAGAGTCCAGCATAGGGGCCACCACAGGCAGCCCCTGCTCGATCAGAAGCCGCAGGGTCTGGTTGTTGGTCAGAATGTTGTCTGTATCTGCAAACTTTGGGAGGGGACTGTCACAGGTTCCAGCCTTGTGTGGGCTGCAGTCCCCCAAGGATTCACTGAATGGGATCTCTCCAGATTTCCAGAGATGTAGAATGTCTCCCAGGATCCAATGGGGTTCTCTTAGAAAGGTCTAACCTACAAACCAGTAGAACCATTTCTAGACTAAGGATCTAGTCTAGGGCACTGGTTCAGGGATTAGATCCACAGATTATAGCTGAGTTGCTGATTAAGAACTTTATCTTAAGTTTTAGGCAGTAAATCCAAAGACCTAGTCTGAGCTCTAGTCCAGTGAAGCAGGCTCAGTTTATACTCTGGGCTCTAGTCCAGGGATCGAGCCTCAGGACATATCCTGGGATCTGCCGCAGGGATCCAGGCTTAGTACTTAGTCTGAGCTCAAGCATAGGGATGTCCGCTCTGGGTTCCGACCCAGGTTGCTAGCTGAAGGATCCAGCCTACATGTGGTTAAGTTCTGCCAAGACTTCTGTCAAGGACAGATGCCACCGTCTGTGGGAAGCCCAAACAAAGGCCGGGCTTTCTTACCAAGATATAGTCAGCCCCCCAGTCCCTGGCAAAGGTCAGGGCTTCCTGTTTCAGCTCCATCAGAAACTGGTGCCTCTCTTTGGTCCAGTGCTTAGGGCCTTCTTCGTCTGGGTAGAGCCTGAGAGGGTAAAGGGATGAGATGTTCTCATAGGGTAGGTGCGTGTGGTCCCAGTCTCTGCAGGGCAGTGGACAGAGCCCTGGCCTGGAGGCTGTGTGTGGCTCGGGGCTGTCCCTCTTCCTCTCTGGGCTACAGCTGGTGCCCATCTTCCCCAGAACATTTCCCCTCAGATCACTACCTGGGCTCCCCCTCGGGCCTCCAGACCACAGCTGCATAGTCATCGCCCACAGCAGTCAGCCACTCCTGAAGCATCTCTGTGGTGTTGTCCACATTGTGGTCCGTGGCACACCTGGGGACACAGGAGGAAGAAGGGTGAGGGGGCACAGCCAGAGAAGGACCAAAGCCCCAGGCAGCCTTGACCCCTGGAGCACCAACATCTGTGAGGCTGGCCTCTCCCGGAAGCAGAGGAGGCAGGTGTGCTACAGAGGAAGACAGGCAGCCAGGTCCCAATCACAGGTCTCTGACCCGCTGTGTGACCTCAGACAAGTTCTCACCCTCTCTGGGCTTCACTTTCTCCCTCTGTAACTATAAGCTGTCCTGGCATGCTCAGGAGCTCAGATGACTGAACTCAAATGTATTTTTAAAGATGAAAAGTACTTCAACTTTGAAGAACACACCTGCCACATTCCCTGGTTACCTTCCTTCCTTGCTGGGTGACCACAGGTCAGCCCCCTCCCCTCTGAATCAGGACTGGACCAAAGAGCTGGTGCTTCCCTCCACCTGAAAGTTGTAATAAGGACACTCCGAACCACACTCCGAACGTCCCTGACAATTGCTGATGGGCCTGAGCTCCACTGCCACCTTCTGAAGGGGCTCTCATGACAGAGGGTGGTGCGAGCGGCTTAGCCAAGGGTCCAGGTTTTAGGTGATACTGCCCCTTTAAGCCAGTTCCCCAGAAGTGAAGACTAACTACGTGTCAAGTCTCAGAGGGGTGGGAACTAACTAACTCCCAAACTGGTAATTGTGGGCGGCCTCCCCAGGCCACAGCTCCACCCCCAGCCCAACTTTTGGGTGTTGTGGAGGGTAGTTTGGTCATTTCTCTCAGTTTATCCTCGACCTCAGCTTGGGACTCCTCCCTGTTCTGGCTTCCATAGACTGTGGCCTCTGATTCCAGTGCCCTGTGGGGACGCCTAGGGGGAGAGACTGCAAGGAGGGGGCTTTGCCCGTAGCTGGCAGGGGCTCTCCTCTCCTGAGAGAGGCTGGAACCAGCCCAGCAGAAGGAGTGGGTCTGATTCCCCTGCAGAGCAGCATGGAGCCCAGGGCTGACAGCACCCCCACGGGCGCCCCAGGAACCCCTGGTCCCGCTGATCTCTGCCACATCAGGCCCCAGGAGATGCCAGCTGTTCCTGTCAGCTCCACTCTGAGTCAAGCCAACCACAGGTCCCATGGGTTGAGTTTCAGCTCTGAAGGCAAGAACAAGAAGGGCCAGGCCCAATTTACACCCAGAGAAGGAGCAGGGGCCGGAATGAGGGATAGGTCCCTGCGTCAACCTAAGGCCTGAGTCTGCTGGGCCAGGGGAGAAGGGGTCCTGTTGCGGGACTCGGGTTGTGGAGGGCCTGTCTGCGCTGGGAGGGGCCTGTCTGGGTGGTGTCTGGGCAGGAGCAGATGGGGACATCTGGAGCCCTCACTGCTGGTTGGGTTGGGGGATAGATGCCCAGTGGGTGCCAATGCCCGGGTCTCTCACCAGAGGGCCAGCCTGGTCCGGGGGTAGTCCAGCCGCTCCAGCGCGCCCAGGTAGTGGGGCAGTGAGTGCTCAGCATTGCGGGCCAGGATCACAAGGACCACAGCGGGCAGCGGCGGCTCCGCGACGCCCACGACCTCGAGCCGCGGCCCCAGCAGGAGCAGCAGCTGGAGTAGCGGGGCGGCGAGGGCAGCGCGCATGGCGGGCGCTCGGGCAGCGGCGGCGGCCCCCTGGGCTCCCCGCGGGGCCGAGGGGAGTGGGCGGTGCAGCCCGGCCAGGGCGGGGCCTGGGGCCGGGGCGGGGCCGAGGCGGGCCCCGAGCAGGGTAGGGGGAGCTTACCCCCAAAGAACCCCCAACCCCTCATCCCTATTCGTGGATTCTTAAGTATCCTCTCCTCGGCCAGGGGCACCGGCGGGCCAGGGCCCGGAGACCCGCCCCAGCCGGGATCCAGGAGCAGCCCCCTCCAGACTCGAGGGTCGGAGGTGATGGCATCCAAGCCACCCCGGCGTCTGAGAACACTCAACTACGAATCCCCGGGCGTACAGTCCCCGGAACCCGGCTTTACGAAGCACCCGATGGCCCTGAACCCAGATTCCCTGGCCATGAATCGGACCCTTGAACCTGAGCCGCAGACCCCGCGGGGTGGGACCCACTGGGCCGCGGCCTTTGCTGGGTTCCCTCGGCTCCCTCTCCCTCCTGTGCCCCCGGGCGCCCTCTGGCGGGCCCAGTCGGAACCTCACAGACCTGTGAGCCGACGCGTGGGCGGAGAGCAAGACCCGCTTGGGGGCCGGGAGAGGGGATCCCCTGACCTGCGCGCGCCATCCCGCCGCGATCCGAGCCTGGCGTCCCCCTGGCGTCATCGTCCTCGCCTCCGTCGCCAGCACCGGCACTGCTCCGGCCCTTTAGGAGAGCAAAGCTCACTCTTAGACTGAATGTAGAACTAGGGGTCACCATACACCCCCTCCGGATGACCCAGCCCCCCTCCAAAGCAGGATGACTCCTGTGTCTGAGTCAGAGTCGGGGTCCTGAGGCCCCTGCTGAGATGGAAAAGAGTCTCCAGCCTCTTTTTGGAGAGGGCAAGGAAGGGGAGGGGTCTGAAGGCCACCAGTGGTGGGTTCTAGCTCCTGTCTGCCACCGACTTCAGGCCAACTACTCTCCCTGAGCCTCAGGGCCTCCTCAGTAAAATCCGGCTAATAACACCACTTAACCTAGTAGGGTTTGCAAGGATTCCGAGTGCCCGAATGCCCTTGAATTCTACGCGTGGAGCCTGGCACACAGAAAGAGTTTCTGAGGCTGGAAAACAGGATTGGAGTAGAAGCCAGGCTCTCCTTCCTTCAGCCCCTCACCCACGGGAATCTACTTTCCTTTGGCACCTTTGGGTCTCCCTTCAGCCTCTTCCCAGGGTCAGGGAGAGGGGCTAAGACTGTGCACACTATCTCCACTGCAAGGTGAGGGGTGGGGCCCAGCAAGGAACAGACTTCCCTAGTGGTGGGGCAGCATGTGGGGGCATTGCACCCTGGAGTGCGGGTCTCCAGCCCACCCCCAAAGCCTCCACCAGCCTCAGTCAAAGCTTCCAGGTAGGGCTGCTTTGCAGCCAGTGGCCCTGCGATGGAAAGCTTGGGGTCCCCTGGAAGCATCCTGGGGAAATGCAAGAGTCCCTTCCCTTGCATGGTAGCCTTTGCTGGAAGGCACTCCTAGCCCGAGAATGGGGATTCCCTTTCGAAAGCAAAGCAATGTTCCCCACCCCACCCATCCCAGAGCCATCCCAGAGCCTCTTCCCATCCTGTCTGTCATGGGGGCTTCTAGATTCTTCCCTTGCTTCAAGTCTTCCTCTTCCTCCCAACACACTGACGCCTCCCATCTTCACCTCCTTCCCTCCGCAGTCCACCCAGTGGTCCAGCCTGTCACTGACAACCTTCTCCAAGGTTCTCCCATCACTCCTGCCTAGAAAAGCCCTATAACCGTCTTGCTTTGGGGCAGGTTATGGCTTCTGCAAACTCATTACCTCCACTCTCAACTGGACTTTCACCGAGCCCAACAATCCAGTTTCCCTGTGCTCCTGCCCCCTCTCCTCAGTGGCATTTCACACACCCAGTCTTCTGAAGCCTTCGCTCCACTCCCCTCCCCAAGCCAAGATCTCCCTGCCACTCACATTTTGGAGAAAAGAGAAGCCATCACCTGGGAACTCTCATTTCCAGCCCCCAAATCTTCCATCCTCTGCCCCCAAGCCCACCTGTACTCTCACCACCTGTTACCATGAAAGAGGCACCTTCTGCCTCACAACAGAACCACTCTTGGGCTCCAAAAGCCATCTTCTTGCCCTTCCTGGCTCACCAACCTCCCTCTCTTCTGGATCCTTCTTCAACATTCCAAAGGATTTAAATCTCCTCCAACTGAAAATATGAATACAGCCAGCTGCCTGTTGGCCCCCAGCTGCAGCGCCATCTTTCTCCGTCTCCAAGCCTCTGGAAAGGGGGACCTGATCTGTGCTTTGCCTTTGGTCTTACTTCCTCACCTTCAGTCACTGCTTGATGCACACCAAGGCCGCTCCAGCCAAACTGCTCCTGCCAAGACTGGCATCCTCCTGGCCACTCCCCCAGTGGACATTCCCCCTCATCCAAGGGGGCTCTCTTCAGCAGGTGACCTTGTGGACCACTCCCCCTTTCTGCAAAACTGACATGTGTCTCAGCTTCCCACCTGGACCCACATTCCATGTCTAAAATGAAACCCCAGTCTTCCCCCAAAACCTGCTCCCCCTCCGGTGGCCTCCCGCAAACTCAAGACCTGAGTGTCCCTGGTGACAAATGCCTCTCAGCTTACTCCATCTCCTCATCCTGGCCAGATCACCTCAACTTCTCCTGCACATGGCCACCTCTTCCCTTCTTCCCTGCCACTTTCCTGGCTCAGGGCATCAGTACCATCCACCTGGGACACTGCACCTCCCAGCACCCCGCCCCTACAAGGCTTTCTCCCTGGAAACCATTTTGCACTCAGTGGCCCTTTCTAAACTCATGATGTTACATCCTTTGGGGGCTGCCATTGCCCTCAGCATAGAGCTCAAACCCTTCAGGGGACAACGAGGCCCTTCATGGCCTACCTGATGCTTTTCCAACTCCTCTGAGCTCCCCTCCCCCATATCCTGTCCCAGCCAAATTAAACTATGTACAGTTTCCAGAACACTCCGTGCTTTAGGACCCTTTTTTTTTTAGTTCCTCTGCTTGAACTGGTCTTTCTCTTTCAGGCCCCCTCGAAAGCCTTCTCCGATGTCATGTCTAGGAGACATACTCCTACAAGACATCCAATATAATCTCATTTGTTCAGCAAATATTTGAGCACATGCTATGTGCAGGTAGAATTCTCAGAACTGGGGATACAGAGGTGCACGAGACAGTCTCTGCTCCTCAGGTACTCACATTCTGGTGAGGGAAGACAGACAGGAAACAAGCAAACTGATACATTAATAGACCATTTCAAAGAACAGTAAATACTATGAACAAAATAAAACAAGCTAACGAGAACAGAGAGTAGCTGGGGGTGGGAGTTAACATTGAGTAGAGGGGTCAGTGAAGACATTTCAGAGCATAAGAGGAGCCAGCCAAGAGCAGATCTGGGGGCAGAGTGTTCCAGACGGAGGGGACAGGTGGGGCCATGGTCCTGCAGTGGAAACAAGCAAGGAGGCCAGGGTATTTGGAGTAAAGTGAACAAGCAGAGTGTGGTAAGAGGTGAGGACCACTTAGGGCTATGGCAGGATTTTGGATTTTTTTTTTTAAGTGCAATAGGAAGACATTGGAGGGAGTAAACAGTAGCATGACATGATTTGTCTTAAAGATTGCTCTGGCTGCAGCTCAAAGGGTGGACCATGGGGGCAAGGATGGAAACCTGGGAGAGTCTCATAGCGGGAGATGATGGTGGGCAGGGTTGAGATGTATCATGGAGGCAGAGCCCACAGCCTTGTAGGGTTAGAGTTGAGAGACAGAGCGAGGAATCAGGATGACTCAAAGGGTACGCAGGTGGGCTGGATGATGGATTAGGTACTGAACGGGGAAGACCTGAAAAGGAGCAGTAGAAGGTGAAATTGGCTTCTGCACTGGATCTTATTTTGAGCTGCCTTTTACACTTCCAGGTGGAAAGATCACAGACCAGACCTGCTTGGCTGTGAGTTCTGAGGCAGGGACACCTCCGCTTCCTTCAGCATTTAATCCCCAGCCCTAGAGCAAGGGCAGCCGGACATAGGGTGGGCTCTCAGTAGAAATGTGATGAGGTCACTGACTACGGTGAGCTGATCAAGCACCTGAACTCCTACTTACACTCTTTTTTGCCCCCAAATATGATAAGACATACTCTGCAAAGGTACTCTTGGGCCAAACTCAGAGAAATTCTAAAGCAGTGGTTCTCAAAGCATGGTCCCTGGACCAGCCAGCATCAGACTTGAAATTGGTAATAATGCTAATTCCCTCCCCATACCTACTGAATCAGAAACTCTGGGAGTGGAGGTCAGACCAAGTCTTTCAGGCGATTTTGATGCCAGCTAAAGTTTGAAGCTGCTATTCTATGGGGCCTAAGTCCTCATTCCTGGGGTAATGTAGAATATATAGAAAAAAATGATTATTTGGGTCCATCTGGGTGAATAGGACCCAGACCACCCTGGACCAATACCTACAACATGGGTTTCTCCCCCTACATCTTCACTCTCATCCCTCAGCCATTGTAGTTCTGGCCATAGCCAGGTGGTGGCGCCAGAGCCTCAGGCTCCACTCCGGCTTCCAGAAATAGAGACTGGGGAAGAATTGTCCCCTTCCCCAGCAACTTCTTCCCGCTGGGAGCTTCAGCTCCATGGCCTGCCTACTGGCAAAGGTTTTGTAGAGTGACCTTCATCAGGGAGAGGGGCACTGAGATTGGCACACCTAAGGTGAGGGCCAACCCCCTCTTCCGGGAGGTTAGGAAGGTGGGCTAAAGGAGCCCCCTAAGTCAGAGAGAAGTCAGGGATGTCTGGCCTGTGGAACCTGGGGATCAGGAGCCCAGGCAGGTGGCTCTGGCCACACCCCCATTAACTCTCTGCCTTCCCCGCCCAGCCTAATGCGAGGTCTCAGGTGCCGCTTCTCTGCCAATGGGTGGGGGAAGCCTAGAGATACCCCAGAACCCAGACAGCACCCCAGGGTTGGGGGTCCTCACAGCTGACAGCCAAGCAGGATGGGAGCAGGGGGCCCATGGCAGAGGGGAGGCATGGATGGAGCTCTTACCAGTTGCTAGCTTCACGTCTCCTGGGTTGGGGGCTCTCTGGGCCCCTGTCCTGCTTTGTGGGTCTTGGCCAGAGGAAGAGCCCACACCTCGCTCCTGGTCCTGGTGCAGCTCGCAGATGGGGGTCAGGAGCCCCAGCAGGCTAATTCCCACTCAGGCTCCAAGCCTGGGCCTGGTTCCAAGAGGACCCAAGGCTGAGCACAGTCTTGCCCCCATCTGCTCCCCTGCCATCTTCCCTATTTGAGGGGTGACTGAGACCCCCAAATCCCACTTGGAGTCACAATTTCACTTAGATCTACCATATCTAGGCCTCTGCTCCAGGAATCTGCCCATGCCCCCCCCCCATCTCCAAGGGTCCCACCCAATGCCCACCCCACCCCAAAGGACCACCCTCTCCCTCTCGGCCATGCCCTCCTCTCCCAGGAGCCCAGATGTGGAGCTGTCCTCCTCTGAGGCTCTGCCTCTGTCCTTAGGAGGCTGGGGCCCGGCCAGCTGTTTTCCCCAGGCAGCCAGCTGTTTTGCCCATCAGGAAGCAGCCCTGGCTCCTCTGCTAAAATCTCTTGCTGCGTTGCTGCGGCTGGGCTGCAGCGTGGCAGCCCTGCTGGGCCAGGGCCTGGGAGCTGTTAACTCCTCTGGGCCCAGGCAGCCCCTTCCCCTCCTAGCCTGATCCCTTCTGCCTTCCTCCGACCTGCAGGGGTAGCCTGTTACAGGACTTCTAGAGACCCCAAGAAGAACAAGTATTGCTGTCCCCACCCTCCATGCAACAACTGCTAACCCACAGCCCCTCCCCTCAACAGAGCCTTGTCCTCAGGTGACCCCAGGTGAGAGGAAGGTTCAAAGGGATAAATATTACCACATGCAGAATAATAATAGTAATAGCCATCGTTAACTGTCTGCTGCATGCCGGGCATCGTGCTAAGCACTTTAAACGGATTCTCTAATTTTCACCACAGTCCTGTGAAGTAGGGAATACCTTCATTTTATAAATGAGAATAGTGAGGCAGGTTAAAGCTAAGTCACTTGCCAAAGCCCACCCAGAATTGGGGTTTGAAACCCAGATTGGGCTGCCTGCCTCTCTCTGGCCAGCCCTGGTAACTCCAAAATCCCTGTGGGTGTTGCTGTATATGTTTCCCCAACCTTCTCACCCCAGGTTTGCTTTCTCTGGTCTGGGCCTCAGTAGCGCCATCTGTGAAATGGGAAGCTGGCGGATGGAATTAACACCACCACCCACTCCGTTCTGTAGGCTGAGTCTGGAGTGGTGCCAGGCTCTGTGCGCAGCACCTTCCAAGTATTTATTAGCAGATCATTCCTCTCAGTGACGGCGGTCAGCCTGGGCTAGGATCCCAGCGTTGCTGCTTCCCGGCAGTCTGGCTTTGGGCAAGTGACTTTACCTCTTAAAATCTCAGTATCCAAAGCTGGAAAATGGATATAAGAACAATATCTACGGTGTCCTTGATTTTGTTGTGAAAAGGATGAGATAATTCGGGCAAAGTGGTGAGCCCGGTATCCAACACAGAGGAAGTGGGTGGGAACTGTTACTCCTTACTATTATGACTATTAACCACAATCTGGAAGGACCTGAGTGGCCCATCCACCCCTGTGTGCCCCCGTGCCCAGCACGGAGCTGGGACATAGAAGGGCACTGTCATTTCTTGTAAGTGAATGAACTGTGGTCGGGGACAGCAGGCTGTGAGAGGGGGCACACCCCGCCCAGATCACACAGTTATGGGGGGAGAGCAGTGGGAATCCCGACACACCCTGCTCTTGACTCTTCCTGAGGTCGGAAACTGGTCTGTCGGGAAGGGGAGGCGAGACGAGGGAACAGGGACAATCCTGGGGCTGAGCAGCCCAGAAGGTGACTGGGCCATGGCTGGGTGGGATCTCAGGGTCTGGGAACGACCCCTCAGGATGCAGTGACCCGTGCTCTCCCCCTTTGTCCCCTCCCCCCTGCCCACCATGGGTCAGCTCCCTGGTCCCAGCCTAGACATCTGGAACTGGGGCAGACAAAGGGCTGAGAAGAGGGACAATAACCTTCTGTCCATTTTCAGATGTCGGGCCGGGCCTGGCCAGGGCTGGGGGCCGGAGCCCCGGCAAGGCGGTGCCAGGCCCCCCGCGGGCAGCGGACAATGTTGGCAGTGATGGAGAGGAGCCATTTCAAAGCGTTTTGTTCCTGCTGACCCCCTCCCCCAACATCTCGCCCCAGCTCGGGGTGAGGCCCCAGCCCCACCCCCAGCCACCCAGGCCCCTGCTCCAGGCGGCTTGGGGACCGGCCACATTCTTGACCTCAGGGGAAAAGTTTAGACTCTTTGCGCCCTGGGCAACAATAACAGTGTCACAGAACTGATTTAGGAGCAGCACTTACCATCACAAAGCAGCAGACAAAGAGCCAGAGCTGAGAACGCCGGGCCTCTGCGCCTACTCCTTCAACCGCTGCTCACTTCTCTCCTGGCCCCTGCCTGGCAGGACTGGGTGCCAGGGCCCAACCCTGGGCACATGGCCCAAGAACTTGAGGTGGGAAGGAGCGAAGGAGAAGAGATGGGGGGCCCAACTGGGATGAGGGGACCTGAGAGCTTTTCTGCTGTGTGACCCCGAGAAAGTTCTGGGCCTCAGTTTCTCTACCTGTAATAAGGAGGCTAAAGTATAAGGCTGAAAGCAGGAGGCTCTGATCCCGCAGGCAGAAGGGTTTCAGTGATGACGCCGATGACGGTGATGGTAAGGATTTACCATTTCATTTTCAGCACTTCACAGGTTTCACAGGTACCAGGTACTGTGATCACGGACCCTTTCTGACTTAACCTCCCCATTTTTCTTCTTCTTTTTTCCTTTTTAAATGATGGAGAGCACTCAGGCAGCATCCTCTCCCTCTCACTCTCCCAGAAGAAGAGAAGGACGATTATCAAAGGCAAATGGTAGTTGCAGAAGCAAAACCAAGAGCAAGTTTCACACTCAGAAGGGAACCCCTCACTTCCTCCTTATGGTTTCCAGTAACTTGGAACAAACTACAGAAATGATTCCTGAAAGTAGAGTTTTTCTTCCCCTTTTATCATTTAATCCTCATCAATCTCGCAAAGCGGGTATATCATTCATCTTAGTTTACAGTTCATAACTGAGGCTCAGAGAAGCTAAGTCACTTGTCCAGGGTCACACAGCTTGGAGGTGTGGAGTCAAGACCAGAGGGAAGGCTGGTTCTCTTCTGATTATACTGCAGGGGGAAGGAGAGAGGGACAAGGCAGCTGGACCCTGGTGAGTCCTGGGTGGGAGGGCCCCTCCTCCCAGCCAGAAGGCTATGAATAAATAAATGTCTGATTATCCCCAGAGGGAAATTCCACCCTTGGAGCAGGTGCCTTTAAAAACTAGATTGATTCTTGTCTGTGAGCAGAGGTTGGCCTGGGCAGACACCCAGATGCAGGGGATTGGACACAATGACCTCTAGTGGAGACCTCCTAGGAATTAGGAGAACATTTAAGGGCTCAGGGCTATGGAGCTGTGAGTTCAAATCCTAGCTCTGATTTTCCTGGCAGTATGTCCATGGACAAGTCACTTCAATTCTCTGTGCCTCAGTTTTCCAATCTGTAAAACCGAACCCACCATGTAGGAGTGTGGTGACCATTCAGCGGAGTACATGGAAGGCCTTAGAGTAGCACCTGACTTAGTAAGGGCTGCATGTTTCTATTTGGCAAGGTCCTCCCAGCTTGAGCCCACAGCCAGGACACTTCAAGGTGGGCACTGCGGGGACACTGGCATGCAGTCAGCTGTTGGCCTTGCTTTCCAAGGTGTGGTTGGGCTTTGATTACAGTATGAGGGACTATGGCTAGACACTGAGATCTAATGGGGGTCCTATTCTCTGGGATCTATAAGACAAAGGCCAACCATGGCTTCTCAGGGACCATCAGAAGAGACTGTGGCCAAGAGTTGCTTGGCCCTAGGCATGGTGCCTAGAGAGAGGATAGAAAGGGACAGAGGCACTGGGAGGTGCTGTCCAGAGCCTGCCCCTCCTCCTATCCCTTAAATCCAGAGGGACCAAACTGTATGTGGAGAGGGAAGGAGAGGTGGCCGAGCCTGGCGTCCAGAGCACAAACAGCACTGCCCTCTGCATTGTAAGGGGGACTGGCGGGTTTGAGTTCCAGCTCAACCAACTTGCTGGGTCACCCAGGATGAGTTGCTACCTCTCTCTGAGCTTGTGCCAGAAATCTTTAGAATCCAAAATGTTCAAAGGAGACCATGACAGGAGCCTCTGTGATTCCGCAGGTCTAATCAGAAAGCTGGCTTGGAATCCAGAAGTCCTGCTCCCCAGATTCCAGCACCTCCTGTCCCCCTCCATCCCCGGACTTTACCTCCAGCTCCTCTACTCATCCCTTTGGCTCCTCTCACCAACCTACCAGTGCCACATACACCGCAGGGAGTGAGACAGTCCAACAGAAAATGTCACAGATTTCTGGGGATGCATAGGGTGCATGGGGTTCCCAGGAGCCCAAACAAGGACAGCCTCCCTGATCCCTCACTGCCTGGCTGTGGGGCTAGAGGAGCACTCACCTGGGCAGAGCACTGTGGGGTCTCCTCGGCCTGGGAAGTGGATGGCACTGCTGGGGCCGTCTCTGGTATTAGGTGACTTCCCCACCCAGTTCCTGCTGCTGAGGAGGGCTGGTCAGGCAGGCCCTCAGGTGCCAGACGGCCCTTCCCGGGCACAGATTTTCCTGGCATCTGCTGGGCAGGAAGGGCACTGGCTGGGGGTTGGGCAGTGGGGCAGGGGAAGATTCAGATGAAGGTGTCTCCTAGAAGGCTTGTCCCCAGTCCCTAAACCCACTCCCTTTCTGGACACTGTGGCCAAGGGTCCAGGAAGCCATTGGCCCTCAGGAACCAGGAAAGGGTTGATCAGGGGAGGCTGAGATGAGTCCAGGCCCCTGCCCCATCCTGTCCCCCACTCCCCCCAGCAGGCCAGCACAGCCCAGGCTGAGGTGTTTGCTTTTCCTGTCTCCACACTGACTCCATTCAGAGCGGTCTTTCTCCACCCCCGGCCAGCAGCCAGCGAGCCAGGGCACCAGGGAGAGCGATCACTGCCCCCACCCTCCCGCCTTTGCAACCCTTTTCTGCCATCTTCACTTCAGGAACATCAGCCCCAAGGGCTTCCTAGTTTTGGGGGGGCTGGGGCAGAGGGGGCCCACCCCAGAGGAAAAGAGGGAAAGTGAATGGAGAAGAGGGACATGCAGTGAGGTCAGGAAAGAAGAGAAGAGGATAGGGTTGTAGGGGGCCTGGCAGGAGTGCAGGGCTCCTAATGGAGGAGGCCAGGGCAGAGGAGGGGGGTACAGAACTTGAGCCACAGGGCGGCGGGCTGGCAGGGGAGGCAGG